CACTCCAGTGGGGGGGTAGGGAGTCCCTGATGCTAGGGCTGGGGTGGGTGGAGTTTGAAGACTCTTGGGAAAGCCTCTCCTGGGGCCACTGTTAGCGGTGGGAGTGAACCCACCACAGTGGCCACAGGCAGGCCCCCACTTCAGGCCCAAGGCCTGGGGCTGGGGGAACAGTCACTGGGTCTCAGATTCTGAGACGGTTGTTTAGCTTACCTTTCTGCTAGGATTGGCTTCCCACAGAGGGCAGGGCCCATCCTAAGCAGCTTCCAAGTCCCACAAAGGTGGCTTGTGGGAGGGTTTAGAAGGAGCTGCATTGTGAGCAGGGAGTGTGTGGGTTGAGGTCGTACCAGCAAGTAGACTAGGAACTGAGCCCAGGAAAGGGGGATGTTCTCCTGGTGTTTGGATGGTCAGCTGGGAGTGTCTGTCATCAGGGGAAGATCAAACACAGGTGCACTCAGCTGCCCAGGGCCTCTGGGACACTTGCCTTGACTTGCAACTTGCCTTGAACATCACGATCAAAGCAGCAGGTGCTGTGGTCTCTCAAAACTGGTTTTTATTTGCCTCTCTGGCTGCAAGACTGCCTTGAACCGCCTGAGGCCTATGCATCTGAACAAGTGGGTCTCTCCCATGGGCACCAGGAGTGGGTGCCAGCCAACCTGAGGACTCCCAGCACCCCACCTGTGGTCTGGCCAGCATAGACTTGCTAGTTCCTTCTTGGTCAGAGGCAGCTGCATGGGGGATGGAGGCCAAGGGGTTGGTCTAAGCTGTGCCCTGCCACCTGGCAGGAGGCCCACTCACAGCCCAAGTCATGGAAACAGACTGGAGCAGCCCAGGAGATGGGCCCAGGATGTTCCAAATCCCTTGGGTCCTAGTGTTATGTTCCAGGCTGCCAACCTGTGCTCAGGATGCATCCCTGGGATCCAGCCCCCATGAAAGCTCCTGCTGGGATGGTGTCATCTACGTTTTGAACCAGTGTGGTATGGTCCTTGGGAGCCCTGCTCTGAGCTTGCCACACTGCTGAGAGCACCCACTGTCCTGACCAGAGTCTCAGTGGTCCTGACCCCCAGTGTGGGCAGGGGCTGGGCAGGAGGGTGGTGTCTGCCATGGGTTCAGAGGACCCCACCTCCTGGATGGTTTACCTGCTGCTGCCCATTTTCTCTGGGTACTGCTGGCCAGAGGACTTTGGCCTACTGCTGAAGAGCCTGTCCATGCCATTTTCCTACTGCCATAGACACCCTAAGCCGAGGGCCCCTTGAGGCCCAGACCCAGCCTGCCCACTGGTGCCAGAGACGGAGTGGAGTGGGCCTGGATCTGAGGGATGCTACCTCTCCCTCCCCACTTGAGGACCCTGGGGAGAGATGGGGGCGGGGAAAATGGAGGTGTGAATTTGGGGTAAGAGGAAGCGAGATCTCTCCGCTTGCAGGTCAGCCCCTGCCAAGCAGGGCGGGCTGGCTTGACTCAGGCCATGTGTGATAGAGGGCCCAGCCCGGCCCCGCCCACAGATCCCCTGCTCCTTTTGTGTTCTGTTGTAAATCACTTGGCAAGACTGTATTTTAGGAACTGCTGCCTAACTTCCCTGTGTTCTGTTTGAGAGGCGCCTGTCTGGATAAAGTTGTCCTGAAATTCCACAGTGGTCCTGTGCTTTCTTTGTGCTTCAGGGGAACCCTTCCCTCACCAAGCCCCGGGGAGAGAGCGGCCTTGTACTGTATGCCTGCATGCCTGCTGCACGCAAGGGTCCAAGTTATCCTGGCTGGCCCCTGTCCAGGAGTGATAGCTGCAGGCCTGACTCCTTCACCTCCTTTCTCTAGACGTTGCTAGCAGGAACTGTATTTTCTTTTTTGCTGTTAACCAGGTGAGGGAGCCCTGGAGTAGAAGCAGCCCTGTCATTGCTGAATCCTGTTGCCTGGTCTTAGCTGCAACCAGGAGACCCCCTCTGGGAAAGCTGCCTCATGGCTGCAGAGCCATGGGACAGGAGGCCCCATCCTGATCCTGCTGTAGGCTTCCTGTCCCTCGCCGCTGAGCTGACCCCAGGGTCAATCTGAGACCACCTGGCATCCCACCAAGCACAGGTGGCAACTTTTCAGGAGCAGAGGGGGCTCCACAGGGTGCCTGGAAGCTTCCTGCTTCCTAGAAGAGCCAAAGCTGACCCCTGCAGGTTGTTAGGTGAACCAGGGGTAAGTCAAATTCAAGTCTTGCATCAGGTTTTGAGTTCAGGGAGCCCTCTGAAGCCTCTGCAGCCTCCCAGGGAGATGGGCCCAAGGCTGCTTTCAGCCTGTACTTGTGAGCCTGGAAGGCAGAGACCTCTGTCTGGCCCAGCAAGCAGCCTTGAGCAGTGCTCAGCTTTTCCTGTTCTGAGGACCTGCCAGACCTGGGTGGGCAGGCGTAAACCTTGGGGTCAATGGCCCAGGGAGCTTTATTCAGAGGGTGCTATTTAAAAGTGATGAATGGGCCGAGCACAGTGGCTCACGCCTGTAATCCCAGCACTTTGGGAGGTCGAGGTGGGCGGATCATTTGAAGTCAGGAGTTTGAGAACAGCCTGACCAACATGGTGAAACCCCATGTCTACTAAAATACAAAAATTAGCCAGGCATGGTGGCAGGTACCTGTAATCTCAGCTACTCAGGAGGCTGAGGCAGGAGAATCACTTGAACCCAGGAGGGGGAGGTTGCAGTGAGCCAAGATCGTACCATTGCATTCCAGCCTGGGTGACAGAGTGAGGCTCCCTCTCAAAAAAATGTAAAAATAAAAATGATGAATGAAATGCTCATCAGTGGTGTCCCTTTTGCCTGTAGCGCTTGGCCCAGTACAGGATGGCTTAGTCCTGTGTGCTGTGCCCTAAAACCTCATCAGAGTTGCTGCCCTGATGGCATCTGCAGAAGGGCCTCAGGAATAATGCATGTGAGGGTGCACGATCCGCAGTGCCTGCAGCCTTCCTGGGGGAGGCCTGGCCTGGAAATCCTCCTCCGATTACAGCTGATAGGTGAGTGGAGCCCTAGATACCATGTTGGGGACAGACACCGCAGCACTCATGGGCACTGGCCTAGATTCTTTGCAACTGGCTTTTGGGACCTGCCACCTGGCCACCCACACACCTGAGAGCACCTGTCCAGGTGCAGACCATGAGGAGCAAGAAGCTGACATCCAGGGCCGCTCTGCCACATGAAGGTGTTTAACCAGATGCTCAGGGTGGAGGAGGAGACTGAGGGCTTTAGCCAGTTCTGGGGGATCCTTCAGGCTCCCTGCCCATAGTGGACAGGACCAAGCGTGTGTAGGGGCACTTGTCTTGTCAGAAGTTACTTGGACCCAAAATGCAGGCGTGTTTAGTGTCTGGGACTGTTTTGAAGCCCATCCTTCTGTTTCAGGAAAGTACCATGGCACTGCCTGGGACACAGGTGTGGAGGGGAGCCAAGGGCAAGGCCACACTCTCAGCAGGTTGCCATGGAGATATGAGGGTGCATCAGGGGGCCCAGTGGGGGCCACGAGGGTGCATCGGGGAGGGAGGAGGGCATTGAGGCTGAGAAGGGCCAGCATAGCACAGGCAGTTGCAGTTGCTTTCCCGGGCTGGGACTGAGCGTGTGCCCTATGGGGCCAGGCAGCATGGGTGGTGGGTGGAGCCTGAGGACAGGAGAAACTTGGCAGGGGGTTACTCCTTACTCCAACCTAAGGGTTTGCTTTTAGCTTGGGCTGGAGATGCAGAGGGAAGGACTGAGGGGTGCCTATCTCCTTCACACCCAGGATGAAGTCCCCAAGCCTGGCCTGGCCTGTCCCTATAGCACCTGGTCAATCTGGCCTGGCATCTGGCTTCCCTGTCTCCCTGTCTCCATTCCAGCTCTCTGTCCTGGATTCTGGGCTGGTTGTATGGCCTCTGCTGGAGCCTCCTGGCCCCCATGATGGCTGTCTACTATATCACCTTGCGCCTTGCCTATGTCTGGTGTTGGAGGCTGATATCCACACAGGCCTGTGTGCCGTCTGTCTGCATAATCCACTGGGGTGGAGCCTGGCTCTGTGGTCACTGTGTGTCCTCAGCGTCCAGAACAGCCAATACATGTAGCAGGGGTGAAAGGAGACAGCAGCCAGCCAGACGTCTTGGTCCTGGGGCTCCTTCCTGCCCAGAGGCTGCTCCTGGCCACATCTTTAGCAGCCACTGAGGGGGAATGGAGAGTTCAGGGGCGTTGGGGGCTGGGATCCAGTTTCAGTTCCAGCATCCAGGGTGGACAGCCCTGGGCCCAGAAGACTTCAGAGGACCAGAGGAAGAGGTGGGGACAGCTGGTGGAGCTATGATCTATGACTAGTGCCCTACCTGGGGTGAGCTGTTCACCCTAGAGAAGCTCAGGAATGTCAGGGCCAGCTCAGGGCTCCATAGCACTACCTTCTGTTGGAGGAGGGGCCCAAGTAGGGTCTTGGCCAGGGACCGGGTTTGAGTCTGTATTTTGGCGCAGGAGGTTGGCAGGATTCCAGCTAAAGCACCCAGCTGCACTTGAAGCAGTTTGTCCTGTTTTTCTTTTATTTGCAGTTTCCCGAGACAGAACAAAATAAGAATAATTTTTGTACACTTACAAGGCTCAGAAAGAAAAGACAATGAAACTCAGCAAAAAGAGAGAGGAGGGGAGGCCAGCCAGCACCGTGGGCAGCCGACCCCTTGCAGCGCTGGCCAGCGGCCGCCGCCACCACACCGTAGACACCTAGCTAGCAGAGCGGTGTGGCTTGCTCTTTAGGGGTCATGCAAAAGAATTATCCCCCAGAAAAAAAAATCCCCAAATTATCCCAGACAGGCAGCTCCGTGGAGGTGACAAGGTGAGAGGGAGAGGAGGGAAGGAGGCCCCAGGACGCCAGGGTGGCCGGCCGCTGGGCCACGCGCTGTCCGTGGTGAGCCCTGCCGCTGTCCCATGGCCCAGGGAGCCACTGGTGCGGAGCCCGGCAGATGTTTACCCTGTGTTCATGGATGGGGACAGCTGTCCTGGGCACAGCGTGGACGGAAGATGGTGTCCACTCTGAGTGTTCATCGGTGGACAGTCCCCTTGGAGTTTAGGATCCTGTGTCCTGTTCCCCATTCTGTGCCCCTCCCTTGGCTTGATTTGTAGGGGAAGATAAAGAAAATCTTTGTTGAAAACGATGTGAATTGAAGGTGGGCAGGCACTGGGGCAGGAGCCCCCGACCCTCTGCAGTCAGGGCTTCTGACCACTCCCACCCAACCTGGCTTCTGACCCACCCTGCAGCCCCACCGTGCTTGGGCTTGCCCTGTCCCCGAGCTCCCCCATGGTACACACCATCACAAGGGGCTGGGGACCCACCGCCTCAAACCCAGGCAGCCGACACTCAGGAGCACAGGGCTGGACCCTGCCCTCCATCCGCTGGTGTCTTGGGCCCTATGCCCACCTGTTTCTGTCCCCAGCCCGCCTTATCTCCATAGCTGCATCCCTGGCCCACCTAGAAGGTGCCCTCACACGCACTGCAGCCCACCAAGGTGCTCTCACACCTGACACTGCACAGGCAGCACTGCCCTCACGCCTCCCACGTGCCCTAGGCTGGCTCCCACTGTAGCTTTTGCTCCCTTCTGCTCCCAGCCCAGATTCCAAAGGCACTCCCACTTCAGCAAACCGCTGCACAGACCCTCATCTCAGCCCAGAAGCTGGGCAGCCACCACCTCTGACCCCGCTCTGCCACTTGCTGTACCACCCGACCAAACCCCAAGCCCCAGGCTTTCCCAAACTCCATCAGCAGACAAATATGCCCAGACACAAAGCCTGGCCTCCCCTCCTAGCTTCAGCTGGGGGCTCAGGGACTTGAGTAAGGCCCGCAGTCCTTTGTCAAAAGTCTGTTCCCCATCATGGGGCGCGGAGAAGCCGAACAGGCTGGGGGAGGGCCAAGGGGCGGAAACAGGGTCGGGAGCTGCCAGTGCATCTGCTGCTGGCTGGCAGAGAAGAGACAGACACCTCACACAGGAGGGAGGCCAGCCCAGGCAGAGTCCTCTTGCCACAGCTGGCTGTGTTGGAGCTGTAGCCAGCAGTGCTATCTCTTGCTCGGCGAGAGGCCCGAAGCTAAGCTGTGCCCCTCTTTGCACTTTATTCCCCTAGAAGGACCAGAGCTGGAGTCCTGGGTGTGTGGGGGCATCTCTGATGGCCTTGGGGACGGGACTCCGGTCTCAATACTCCAGGGGGTGAGGGGCCGGCCTGGGCTCTGCCGAAGGGTTGTCCGTGCTGGGTGTGTGGGGATACCGGGCACGGAAAACCCACACCTAGCCCTTCAGGGGATGAAAGGAAGGGAAGGGAAAGCAGGAACAACAGCAACTCTCAGGCACAACTAGCGGGAAAGGAGGCAGCCCAGTGGGCCCCACAGCCCCTCCCAAGAGACAGCTGACAGTCACGACAGCCAGCGAGCACACCATGTGGAGCCCATGCGTTGGCGGGAGGATGCAGACACCTTAGGTGTGGGGTGTGTGCGTTACCTACAAACTAACACCGTTCAGCACGCGACAGGGGCCTGGCAGACAAGTTCATGTCCCAGCTGGTCCCCCAGAGGCCAGGAGCACAGACGGACACACGTGGAGCTTGGGTGGGGAGCGGCCCCACGAATGCCAGTGATTTTTACAGCTTTTTCCTTCCTTTAGTGTTTTTTTTTTTTTTTTTTCATTTCATCTGATGTCAATTTTTTGTGGTTGTCGTCGTCATCTTGTTTTTTTGTTTTGTTTTGTTTTTAAACAAATCACATCTGGTCTTGTTTTTCTGCAGACACAGGCACCAGGGGAGGGAACGAGGCAGACACAAACATGCGACAGGCAGGCCGTGTGCCCGAGGGCAGTCGGGCTCCAAACACCAACTCTGTCCGGCGAAACCAGGGCGCAGCTCTGAAATGGGGCGGGTGGGTCAGCTCCTCAGCAGCCCCCTCTCCCGTCCACCCCCAGGCTCTGCTGTCTGCCACACGGCACTGCAGAGAGGGTTAAAGTCCGGAAAAGGACCCACTCGGGAAAGGGGTTCAAGGTGCCCAACCCAATTGCTAGTATCCCTGTAAAACTGGGCTCTGGGCTCTAGGCCCGCTGCACCCGCCACCTGGAGACCCCCCATCTGGGGTTCTAACAGTCCTCACAAACAGGGCATGGTGCCCAGGATTGTGCTGCCTGGGGCCCATCCACCTGCAACCCACCCAGCTCTGGCCAGTGTGGACTGCTCAGGCCCTCATCAGCTCCCCAGTCGTCTGAGGAGGCCCGCCACACCCAGCCTGCTGTGATCCCTAATTCAACATCATTCCTGTGGCCTCAACAGGAAAGCTGATGGACTTCCCAGGCATGGGCTCTGCCACAGGCCCCACTGCTCCCCATTGCCTCCCTGGGCTGCAGCCACTCACACCACCGCCACCCCTCTGCCCTGGCTGTCACTTAGCACAGAGCACTCACCTTCACTGCAGCGGGGCCACAGGCGCGCCCGAGCAGTGGAAGTGCACGTTCTGCCACTTGCCGTCGCGGCGGTGCCACACACGGGTCTCCTCAGACTGGCTGGTGCGGGGCCGGCCCTGCCCGTCAATGTACTGCGTGAGCCGGATGTAAGCAATGCAGGCGGCGTCCTCTCCGATGACGTGCACGTGCGGGTTCAGGATGGTCGTGTGGATCGGCTTGCTGTTCTTGGCCAGCACTGTGGACAGCAGGTGGAGGGAGGTCTCGGGTTACTGTGGCTGCCCTGGTGCCCGCCTTCCACCCCACCACCCTAACCCTTTCCCTCTCTCAGCTCCCCTTATTGGGGAGGTTCGGCTCTCCTGGGAGCAGCATGGGCCCCTCCAAGAGTGGGATTCTGGGGGCTGGGTATCTGGTGGGGGAGGGGTGGCTGGCCAACCCTGGGCAGAGAGGGGACAGGGCTTCCATAGGCAGCCACCATGCTGTCCCTGGGAGGGGCCGAGAGGCTCTCCTGGGGGCACTGCACCCTCATGCCCACCCGGGCTCCCTCACTCACGGTTCTCGAAGTAGAATCTGTGGAAGTCCATCCCTTCAACCAGGTTGCCCAGTGCTTCAGGCTCAAATGAGGTCAGCCCTGGGTCACAGATTTTCCTGGGGGCCAAATCCAAGTGAGGAGGGGCCCCATGGACCCCTGACTCTGAGCAGGGCCCCCCCAAGGGTCCCACATCCTTGTCCTGCACAGCCCCCCCCCAGCCCCGGGGACTCACGCGTAGGCCTCAAAGTCACCGTTGTTGACAGCCTCGATGAGCTGCTCCGTGGTCTTAATGATCTCCTGCTTCCGGGCTGTGGGGAGACACGGCCAGGTGACCACTGGGCGCTGGCCCATTCCCCCCAGACCCCTCCACACAGCCCAGGGGAGGGCCTGGGGGAGCACGAGCTGCATCCACACCGTGTTTCTGCCGCTATTCGCAGAAGCGATCCTCTCGCCCGCCCCCCTCTATCACCAGTGGCTTCCTCATTTCCAAGTGCAACAGCTTCCATCTTATTTTTCTTAACTAAAATATTTTTGAAGGACAGAAATATTCTATCCACATTACAAAATGTCTGGAAAATGCAGAAAGAGGAAAAAAAAACCCTCCTACAATCCACTTGGAGGTCACCTCCTGGCCCCACGAGCTGTCCGCCATAGTCTCCCTCCTGCCCTCCAGTGAGCCAGGCCTGGGGCCTACCAGGCCTGACCCTGCGCTTCCCTGCAGCTTCCCAGCCCCACCCTCCTCCCGAGCCTTGGGTTCGTAGTGCCTCCTTCACCCAGCAGCTCTGGTGAGGGGGCTACCAAGTGCAGGCACCAGGCGAGAAGGCAGAGACCTGCCTGGAAGAAGGAGCCGTCAGCAAGGCCACGTGGAGGCCGGGTAGGAGGAAGCAGCAGGGGGCGGCCAGGCGTGGCTACAGGGTTCCCCGGGGCGATGACCCGGGTTGTCCCAGCAGCAGGAAGAGCAGGCATGGTCTCTTGTTCCTCGCTTTTCTCATAGGAGCCGCATCCTGCTGGCTTCACCTGCTTGCAGTCCGAGGCCCGCATGCTACCCCTGCAGACACCCCCGTTGCCCCACACCCCCATGCCCAGGCTTCTCTCTGGTGCCTGCCTGCGGTTCCTGCCCACTCCCCTTGGATTCCAACAGGCCCTCCAGCCATGCTGGTCCTCACTGGCCTCTGTGGCGCTCACTGGTAGCCCGCGTTGCTGCTTTAACTACAGCTTATTTTCATTGTAAAAGATTTTAAAAGTATGGAAGACGTGGAGAGAATAATAGAACCCACACTCCACGGATTCACATCTTAACATTTTCCTATTCGCTTTAGACACATTTTAAAGAAATAAAGCACCGCACATGTAGTTTGAAGATGCCTGTGTTCTCCTCAATCTTGTCTCACTCACTCTCCTCAGACAGAACTACTGTCCTCAGTGAGGTCCCTAGCCATATCTGCGAGGATATATACACAGGCACACACATACATGCACACTCACACACAGAACACACATGCACACGCACGCTCACCTATACACACAAGTAACACTGGTTTCTCAGAGTAATTTGTCCATGGAAAACCTCAAACCCCCAGAAGTGCACCGGAAGCAGGTTCCTGGGAACTCTCCCTGTGGGGGAAGTCTCTGCACTCCCAGCACTGCGCTCTGTGACCCTCAGGCTGCTGCAAGCCATACCTGGGACACCTGCCCTCAAACTGCTGCCCGCCCTGCAGGACACCATTTTCACCAAGAAGGCAGGCCCTGTGGTGACGTTTCCACCCTTCAGCTGTGAGTGCTGCCTCCAACGGCCACATACATGCCACCTGTCTGTGGTCTAAACTCCCAGAGGAGGGAATTCCTTTTTTTTTTTTTTTTTGAGATGGAGTTTCACTCTGTCACCCAGGCTGGAGTGCAGTGGTGTGATCTTGGCTCACTGCAGTCTCTGCCTCCCAGGTTCAAGCGATTCTCCTGCCTCAGCCTCCCGAGTAGCTGGGACTACAGGTGTACACCACCACGCCCAGCTAATTTTGTGTGTGTGTGTATTTTTAGTAGAGATGAGGTTTCCCCGTGTTGGCCAGGCTGGTCTCAAACTCCTAACCTTAAGTGATCCACCCATCTCGGCCTCCCAAAGTGCTGGGATTGCAGGTATGAGCCACCGTGCCCAGCCAGAAGAGGCAATTCTAGGCATGCCCTGTGATGGGGTTGCCTTTATCTCTCCCGCCAGGCCTCTGGGAGCTCGCCCCACCAGGGAGCCCACCTGGCAGGTGGACTGAGTCCACGAAGAAGGCGCGGCATGCCCAGGTGTGCTCACGCATGTGTGTGTGGCGCTGCCTGGGAACGCCTGTGCTGCACCTGTCTACTCTGGGGCCTCATGTCCCCTGCTGCACAGTGACAGCAGGAGGAGCCCGATGACACCTGAGGAGTGGGGTGCACACATGTTCATGCATGTGATCACATGCATGTGTGTACACATGTGATTATGCATTCATGTGCATGTATGGAAACACGCACACGAGCGGGACGGTGTGTGTGTGAATGTGTGTAGATGAAGCTCATACATATGCACGAGCACCTGTGTGTGCATGTGTGTACAGTGCCTGTGAGTGTGCACGTGTCATGTGTGCCTGTGTTGTGTGGCATGGGCACATGTGCACTCGTGGGTTGCCCCTATCTGGAAAGTCCCTTGCTCCTGACCCAACTGCACTTCTGCTGCCAGCCTGTCTCTCTTTCTTGCCTAACTTTCATCTACACCATGTCATGGATGGTCCTCAGGGCAGTCTTGCTATAGAAGCCTAGTTCCCACCCACCTGGCGGACCCTGGAAAGCTGGCCTCTAGGAAGGTGGGCTGCAGGATCCAGAAGCCCCTTCCCCTCCAGTTCCTGCTGCAGCCACCACGAGTCCCATTCCTGGCCCCATTCCACCTGCCCAACTCTAGGAGGGCACAGGGCTCTGTCCTAACACATGCTGTGGCTGTTCCTGTCCTTGCCCCTGGGCCCCAGGACAGTAGCATATGACACTTGAGGGCCCGTCCCCACCCCAGCTGCTATGTTCCTGCCTCCTCTCCACCCTCTACCTCGCACCTGCCTCTCCCCTGCCTCATGCCCCCACTTTCACCTGTCCTTTCCTGGAGGTGGCCCCAAGCTTCAGGTCTGACCTCTCTTCCACCTGTAGCCAGTCCTTCCAGCAGCCCCCAAGTCAGACCCCACTAGGGTGCCTGGCTCTGCCCTCCTTGCATCAAGAGAGAAATCTGGTGTCCACATGTCCCAAACACCTCCTGTCACTTAGTTAACCCCCCTTTCTGATGGACAGAGAGAGCTGCCCCTCCCACTCCACAGGGGTTCTCAGGGACAGCAGCACGCAGCTGGAATGGAGAAGAGAGTGACATTATCTCATTTGGTTTCCAGTCTGCTTTGGTTCTATAGTCACCTTACACTAGTGGTAAGTGAAACTAATCTTCCATTTAATGAAGTAATACGTAGTGCTTTTAAACAAACTGTAATTAAAGTGGGAGTTGGTGGGAAGAGAAAGCATAAAGTAAACAGAAGAGGACATGCATGGTCAGAGTTCCATTCAAGAGGGGTAACCATGCTGAAGTATGGGAAGCAGGTCTGTTGTGAGACCCACCCATCCATTCCACAGACGGAAAGAATAAGTTGACCCTGCAACGGAACGGTGCTGCCCAGACCCCAGCTTGACCCAGCCCCCACTCCGCCTCCCCACAGAGCACATGGGTGCTTTTGTGTCCTTGATACCCGGGCCCCTGAAAAAGAGCATGATCCCTGATGGAGGGGAGGGAGGGGTGCCTGGGTGGGGAAGCCTGCTGGCTGAGGACAATCTGCCCTGGCAGTTCCAGGGACAAAGGGGAGGCAGTGGGCAGGGTCTGGGCTTGGAGGGGTCTGCCTGAGCCAAGAGCCCCTGCAAGTCAGGCCTTCCAGGTGCCCTGACGCAAACACGAGCCTTGCATTGCCTGTGGCTCTCTTGGGGTGATGCGACAGGTCCAGGCAGGCCCAATGCATCCAGGTGGGGTCAGAGCAGGTTCTCATCCTGGCCTGGACTCCTGGGACCCCAGGCTGGCCCCAAGTCCCATCTCTCAGAGCCAGAGGTGGCTGCGGGAGGGAGGGCAGCTGCCCAGGGATCAGGCTGGATTGTGTATAATCCGCGATTAGAGAGCGTGGGTCGGGAGAAGACAGGGTCTGAGGCGGGCCGTGGGCAGCTGCCCTATTTACACAGCTGGTGGGTGCCTTCCGGAGAAAGGAGGGGGCTCACGATTGGCCTGTAGGATGGCCCAAAGCTGGCCACCTGCTGCCTGGGCCCAGGTGCCCTCAGGGTGGTACCCAGGCTCTTCCTCTCCCCGAGTTCCCGGAACGTCTCACCCACCCCTCTCCCAGCCCTGCCCAGCCCCTCCCAGGAGGGCCACACGAATCTCCATCCTACCCTGCTCACAACTCCTTCCTGCAGCCCCCACCTCCTCAGCCAAGCTCAGGGCAGACTCTGGACGGGCAGGTCTGTGCTGTGGCCTCTGAAGGTGAGCCTGGGCACCGAGCCCCGAGTTGGCCACTTCATACCCACCCTGGGCCCTGTCCTCAGAGGACTCACTCCAGCTACTGCACAGACCTTGAGGGCAGGCTGCAGCCCTGGGCTGGGGTCATGCTAACCTGATGGGGTGACCTTCCAGGCAGGCTCCTTTGGGCACACCCCTCCACTTCTGCAAGGGCAGCAAGCCCCTTAAATCAGATGAGCTGCTGTAGAAGTGGCAGGTGTGGGGGGTTCTGACTACCCCCAGAGGCTCTGCTGTGCACCCGCTCCAGCTGCATGGCGGCCCCTCCCCATGCCTCCCTCCTTGAGTTCGGTCGCCCAGGCATCCCGACCCTATCACCATCAAGAACCTGGTCTTTCCCCTCAGCTGCTCGCCTCTGATCCCCTCAGTCAACCCCCACTGGGAGTCCTCAGCTGACCACAGAACACTCAGGGGGTGAGTGCCCCTCCAGGGGCTGCCCCCTGCCCTCTCGGGCACCCAGGGTGGATCCAGTGTCCCTTTGAACCTGCAGGCTGCATCCCCCTCCTCGGGCCGCTGCTCTTGTGGGTTCACTCTCCCCACACCCCTCTCCCCTGGCCACCTGCAGCAGCCCCCACGCCCGGCCTGCAGAGGGGATGGGGGCACTCAGACCCCACCTGTCCCTCAAGTACTTACCTAGCCACTGCCCTGCCATGCCGAGCCCTTGGCCCAGCAGCCTCTTCTCTAAGAGCATCTCCACACCACCCCCAGCCTGGTGTCTCCCCACAGGTGGGGGTGGCGGCAGCCCTGGGATGTCATCCATCCCTGTAAGCGATACTGTGGGCAGTCGGCAGACAGACCGGGAGGTGGCCCAGCCTGGCTCCTCCCTGGCCGGAGAGGCTGCCCAGCCTGGGCTTCCCCTCCCGCCCGCTCTGTTTCAGCCTGGCCCCAGCTGCCCCCCAGATCCGCGCCTCCTGATCCCCACCTGCTCCCTGCTTTCTGGACTTGGACAGCTCTAATGCTAGAGCATCTCAGTGACACTTTTCTGTCCCTGCCCAGCAGGTCCACCTCGACCCAAGCCAGCAGCTCCTGGCGTGCCAGCCCTTGCCACACGCGCAGACCCTCTGCTGCCCATTCCCCTCCCATCAGAGAAGGCTGTGGACCTCAGGGTCACAAGTTTTGGGGTCGGCGACAAACCTGCTCTTTCAGACGCTCTTCCTACACACTTGTGTCATACACACTTCATAACCATAACCTCCATTTTGTGAGACCCAACGGCACCTGCATGTGCGTCAAAGCAATTCCCTGGGGCCCAGCAGAGGGATCCTGTGCCCCCGCCCTCCCCGCAAGCTGGCCCTTCCCAGAGCACCACTGCCAGGCTCGCACTCCCCGAGCCCCTCCGGGCAGCTGCTGCCAGGGCCACTCAAGGTGCTACTTACACGGGGTGGGCAGGGGGCCAGGGATAGTCGGAGATGGGCAGGGCAGGGACCCCACTGGTGAGGGGCCCTCGGCTTCTGGGGTCCCTGAGCCCCTCCTCACAGAGTTCAGGATGTCAGAGATCCTCGGGGCTGGGGCGGAACAGACAAGACGTGAACACAAGGCAGGCACGGGGGGCACGCAGGAGAGAAACCACGGGCAATCAGCCAAGCCAGAGATTGAGGGGCACAGAGGGAGATGTAGGGGTGGGGCACGAGGGGAGAGAGGGGAGGGAGGGAGGATGGGGGGGTGTGGGGGGAAGAGGGTGGACCTGGGCCAACAGAGCGGATACAGGGGACAGAAGGGGATGTGGGGGACAGAGGGGAGCTTGGGGGACAGAGAGGGAAATGGAGGAGACTTGGGGGACAGAGGGGGGTGCTGGGGACGGGGGGGCATGAAGGGACCAAGGTGGGTGTGGGGGACAGAGGAAGGTGTGGGGGACAGAGGAGGGTGTGGGAGGGAGAGTGTGGAGGACAGAGGGGGATGTGGGGGACAGAGGAGGGTGCAGGGGACAGAGGAGAGTGTAGGGGACAGAGGGGGATGTGGAGGACAGAGGGGGTGTGGGGGACAGAGGAGGATGTGGGGGACAGAAGGGGATGTGGGGGACAGAGGGTGGGGGAGGGAGGGGGATGTGGGGGACAGAGGAAGGTGTGGGGGACAGAGGGGTGGGGGGACAGAGGGGTATGTGGGGGACACAGAAGGGTATGGGGGACAGAAGGGGGTGTGGGGGACAGAGAGGTGTGTGGGTGACAGAGGAGGGTGTGTGGGGACAGTGGCGGATGTGGGGGACAGAGCGGGTGTGGGAGACGGAAAGGGGTGTGGGGGACAGAAGGGGGTGTGGGGGACAGAGAGAGAATGTGAGGGACAGAGCAGAGTTTGGGGAGGAAAACAGAAACATGAGGGAAAGAGGGGAATTTGGGGGACAGAGAAGGATGTAGGGATAGAGGGTGAACTTAGGGGGACGGAAGTGGGTAGAGAGGTTGTAGGGTGACCAAAGGGGATATGGGGAGACAGAGGGAGACAGGAGGACAGAGGGTGCTGCTGGGGACAGCGTGGTGCATGAAGAGGAGGCTGCAGGAGTGAAGGGTGGATGCTCTGGCTGTCGGGTGGCATGGGCTGAAGCTGCTGTGGGCAGAGGGCACACTCCAGGGACAGGCTGCTGGCCAGCAAGAAGCTGTCAGGTAAGTGGCCCTTGAGGAACGCTGGACAGGGTTACAGGGAGAGGCGGGAGTCACGGGCGGTACAGAGGAGGCCTGGCCTGGCCTGGCCCCATGAGGACAGCCCAGGTCAGTGGAGCCCAGGCTTATGATTCTCCATACTATCCCCTTGTTCAGGAGCCCCAGGGACCCTGGCCGGGGTTTCAGTTCTGGCACCTTCCTCAGCCCCCTAGACTGAGGAAGGGCACTCAGGGGTTGGGGTCACATCAGGAACCAGGGTGGCCCTGAGTGCAGGCTCCTGGGCACCATGGGCAGGGCCCCTGGGTGGGTGTGAAGTCTGGGGCTGGGACAGTGATGAGCAGAGAGGGTCTAGGGACATGGGGGGCCTCAGAGGGGCCAGACAGACCCTTTTGGGAGGGGCCTGGGGCTGGACAGCGAGCGGGGAGTAGCAGTGGGAGCAGGAACCCTGTAAGGGGCTGGGCCCCTAAGGGAGAAGCCAGGAGCTGCTCTGCTGGTTAGGGTGAGAGCCCACAGGAAGCCCCACCAGGGCAGGACGCCAGGCTGCGGCGCCGGGGCAGGGTAGCTGGGCCGTGCACGCAGGTGGGAAGCTGCTGAGCGCCGGCCATTCGCAGGGAGCTGTCCGGCAGCAGAGGCGGCAGGCCTGGGGCCACTACTTACATGGGGAGGGTAGGGGGCCTAGGAGAGCCGGAGACAGGCAGGGCAGGGGCCCCGCTGAGAGGGGGCCCTCGGCTTCTGGGGTTCCTGAGCCCCTTCTCACAGAGTTCAGGATGTCAGAGATCCTGGGGGCTGGGGTGGAACAGATGAGACGTGAACATGAGGCAGACAGACATACGAGGAGGCGGCAAGGCGGAGGAGGTCAGTGGTAGGGGTCCCGTGTTCCAGACCCCTTGGGGCCTGGGGTCAGGCCCCGAATCAGAGCCTGCCTCAACAGCAAGGAGCTCCCCCCTCCCGCAAGCTGAGGTGGAGTGAGGCCTGTGCCAACCCTGAAGACTGGAATTGAGGCCCGAGCCTCCGGGGCCTCCTATCCTGCCCAGTGGCTTTGAGCAGGAAAGTGGTCCAGGGCCTACCTCACAAAGAGGTGAGGCTCGATGGGCTGGGGCCGCCCTGGGAAGCCCCAGTGAGGGGTTGTAGTGAGGCTGGAGCCAGGGTCCATGCTCAGCCTGCCCTTGGCTCTGGAGCGGCCCCTCTATGGGGTTACCAGCCCTCCAGCATGACCCCCACAGCAGCAGGGCCCAGGCTACTTACATGGGGCTGGCAGGGGGCTAAAGGGAGCTGGAGATGGGCAGGGCAGGGGCCCCTCGGCTTCTGGGGCTCCCGAGCCCCTCCTCACTGAGCTCAGGATGTCAGGGACCCTGGGGGCTGAGGCGGAACAGGTGAGGCAGGCAGGTGTGTGGGGCGCCCGCAGGAAAAGAATGCAACTGGAGAAGGACAGGGGGAGGCCAAGAGGGAGGAAGGGGATGACAGCTGGATACCTGGGGCTCCTGGGGTGGAGGTGGGGTGGCCACCCTATGGGGGTCCTGGGCCTGTGGTGGCCGCAGCAGTTATGTGAAGGCTGAAGGAGCCAACACGGGGCCAGTGCCAGAGCCAGCAGAGGCCAGGGCAGCACAGGCCAGTGCAGGCTGGCATGGAGTCAGAGGCCACCCTGCCACCCTAGTGCTGTGACCACTCCTGGCCAGAGCCAGCAGAGGCCAGGCCCACGGAGGGGGAGTGATAGTCATCGTAGGGGCATGATGGCCACTGGGCCTGCCTGGACTCTGTACCAGCCTCAGGGCAGCCTGGCAAGGTTTCTTTCTGCACCCGGTGGGGTGGGGGGTGTCTGCCTCCACCTCAAGAGGCTGCTCGGGCTCAGATCTGAGCCACAACTGCTGCTTCGGGGTGTCTTCTCTTCTCCCCTGCAGGATCCAGGCTGGGCCCCCCTCCCAGGTCCCCTCCCTCACTGCTCAGCGCACCACCGGGCTGAGGCTGATGGCAGAACCTCTGGACAGCCTCCATGCTGTCGCCTTTCGGGCCTGTTCCAGACTGCAGGGGAATCGCACACCCACTCTGTGGCATGCAGGGCCCGAGGTCCTGTGCTCATCTCTGCTCAGGGACAGTGTCATAGCTGGATAGCGTGGGCAGGAGCAAGGCTAAGCTTTGGACAGGTGAGAAGTTTTCTCCCCTAAACTGGCAGAGTGGCTGACCCTTGTCAGGCACCGGGGCAGCCCTGAGAACAGCGTAGGGCTTATTAGGTGACCGTGTGAGTGATGAGGGTCAGGAGGCCCCATGTGGGTGGTCTGGAGGCAGCAGACTCCATGGAACTTGCCCCAGTGCCGGGTGCCCTGGGGGCCTCTTGAGGAACACACAAGACATTGGCCTGGGTGAGCAAGGGAGGGGGCCCTGGAATCTGTAGTGCAGAAACCCACCACAGGAGGCCACTCCTGGTTCAGCAAAGGCAAACACGGAAGCACCCACCCAGCTGCCCGGCCACTCGGCAAGTGCACGATGGACAGAAATGCAAGCTTAAGGAGCTTTAAGACAAGGACAGCATCTTGGAAAAAGTTCTACCCATGAACCTGTTTCCCTGTGAGGGTCCTGGTGTGGAGAACCTGCCTCTGCGCAAAGCCGTGGCTTCCTCACTTGGATGCGGTGACTGAGACTGCCCGGCTGCCAGTCATCTCTGCCACACTTCCCACTCTCTGGGCAGGCCTGACACCCAGGCTTGGGGTGGGATTGCAGCTACAGGGCCCCCGAGCCCCCCAACACATGCACACACCAGGCATCGCAGGAGAGCTGACCCTGCACAAGTCCCACCCGCCTCAAAGAGCAGCCCAGCAGTGCCAAGGCCGCTGCGGGACAAGGACGCAAGTGCAGGTACCTTTAGCGTCTTCATCCTCTATGGTGGTGTTGGCACTGTCAGAAGACTCCTGAGGAAACACGGGAGGCAGTGGGTCAGGATGCGGCCAAGCACAGGTGGGACGTGGCTGAGGGCAGGTGGACAGGGCTGGGCCTGCATCAGGACCAGCCCAGGCTCTGAGGCTGACCTCTGCCCCAGCTGCTTTGACCGGGCTTAAAGGCCAGGGGCTCAGGGGACATGCCCTCTGGTGGCTGCAGTGCCCCAGCTCTGTGGACTTAATGCGGCAGTGACTGGAGAAGACACCCAGTTCTGTGCTGGTCCCTGGGAGGGTGCCCCTCACCAGGGCGCATTCTCATGGCAGCCGGCACAGGCTGGCACAGAGTCCGAGGCTGGCCCTGCCACCCTAGTGCTGTGGCCACCCTGCATCCCCAACACATGAGGGTTCCAATTCTCCCAGCAAGATGAGCCTGGCACAGAGACTGGTATGCCCAGCCGACTCTTTAACAAGAGAGGAAAACGGGCTTTTTGAAATTCCAAGACGTAAAACACAATGGGACTGGCTGGTTCCGATGAAGCAGCAGCCGCTGTCATCCAAAATACAGGGTGAGGTGTTTCCAGTAGCTCTGCAGATCCGCACAGGGCTCCAGGAACCTTGGCCTGGCCCCAGGCAGAGCACTCCTGCCACCCACATTCCCTCAGGGCACCTGCCCCTCTGGGACTGGATGTCCAGCCAGGCCCCGGCCTCACCTCTCAGGTGGCCTTAGAGGGCAGAGGTGGCCCAGTCTCTCCCACCCTGCTCCAGGGATGCTGCCCTTCAAAAGACCATCCCCCAGCTCCCCAGGAGGCCTGCTCTGCTCCTCAGAGGAAACATCTCACGAGGTCCCTGGGGGACCGCCACCTGGTCTGGACACTGCCTGGACACTGCTCGGGGGCCCTAGACCAGAACTACAGGTCTTTAGGTGCAGGGTCAGAGTTCACCACAGCCCAGAAGGTTGTTTAGGAGTCTTGCAGAGAACATGACCCACCCCAGACACACATGGGTCCCAGGGGCACCCATCCCCAGCTGCCAGGTGGGGAGAACACCCAGGTCCTGGCCTAGCACCATGGGTGCCCCTTGGTCCCTGCCATGGAGAAAGATGTCTTCTGATGATGGGCTGGGTGGTGGCACTGGCCAGAAGGAAGTGGGGGTCCCCACAGAGGCACTCTGGGGGCTCTGTAAGGAGCCCAGGCCTAGGTGGGAGCTGGACTGGAGGACTGTGTTGGGTGTAGCGGCGCTGTTTTGGAAGTCCTGGAAATGGCTTGGCTGCTGGCCCCATCCCTCCCACCACCCCAGAGAGCCAGCCCCTTCCCTGGCCCCAGAGTGATGATGTCAATGTGATGGGAGCTGATGGCCAGAGCAGAGAGGGGAGCAGAGGAGGGAGGGTCTGCTCAGCAGGAAGCACTGGGGGCCGCGTGAGGGAGGTGGGGTGGAGGATAGCCAGGAGGGTCAAGGACACAGCTCCTGAGATGCAGGCCCCGCTCCAGACCTCAGGAAGCCCTACCGCCTGCGGTGGGTGGGATACACGGAGCCCTGGTCTGAGAGTGTCGGCCACATGGGGACTGGGCGCAACTGTGCCAAGCACCTCCAGGGGCACGCCTGGGGCCTGAACCAGTCTGTCGTGTTGTTGCCCACAAAGATGGACTGGAGCCCTGCTGTGCTGTGGGGAGGGGTGGCCAGGGCCATGGGACATCTGCCCTCCACTCTGGCACAAATGCTGCCCCAGACCTCTTTCCTGGCCTGGTGCCTCCTGCCTGGGGAAAGCGGGAGGAGGAAAGGGGGGCAGTACCTTAATCCCGTCCACTGGGTTATGGATGACGGTGGTTTGAGGCTCCTACAGAAGAAGGAAGACACAGAGGAAGGAAAGAGAGGGAAAGTGAGAAGAGGAGGAAGCAGAGACCACCAGGAGGGGAACAGGGAGACAGAGGAGGCGTGGGTGGCCAGAGCCTGCGAGAAAGAAGTGCAGAGCAGAGTGGGGGACAGGGATGGAGGCGGCGTGGAGCAGCTGCGGGAGGAGCCTGGGTCAGACGGCAGGGATGGAATGGACAGGAGCTCTGTCCAGGCTGGCGGAGGTGCTGCTGTCCAGGGCAGGAGATGGACTGCGTGGGGCCCCGACAAGCTGCACAATGTGTGTGGGAGCCAGAGAAGCCAGGCTCGGCCTTGGGGAGTTCTCCCCACCCTTTGCTGCTTGAACCTGTGCCCCAGCGTGGTGGGGGGCACAGGTCTGAAGATGTCATGGGGGTGGGGGTGGCACATGGGATGGACAGGGTCCGAGATGGGGCTGGCTGTGAGGCTGGCACGTGGGCCACCCTGGCCACTGGAAGGCCTTAGGTAGGCTGGCACCAGGCCACCCTCCAGCCATGGCCTGGCTGCTCTGAGCAGCTCGCCCCTCCCAGGACCGCTATCCTCTCCTGGGTCTCAGGGTGGCCATTTGGCAAACCCGGTATTCCCGTGGGTGGTCTGGGGCTGGCTCCCGAAGCTTGGCCTGGGGTTCTCAGGGGACACCAAACCTGCTTCCAGCAAATGTGGGGACCTATGGGCCAGCAAGCCCCAAAGCTCTTAGGACAGCTGAGGGGACACAGCACAGTGCCCCAGCAGGAAGGCCGGCACCCACCAGCCACAACTTTACATCCTTGGGAGTACTGCTGTAGGGTTCACCTGTAGGAGCCCCCAGGGCAAGGGGCACTGAGGGGCGCAGTCGGAGCGGAGCATGGTGGGGATCCCTCCCCTCCCCGGCAGGGAGCCCCTAAGTCCTGCCTCTCAGGCAGCCACAGAGCAGCACGGGTGTGCTAGCTCCTGAGGGAACACAGACGTGACGCCAAGCTCCCTCCTTGGATGGCCCTGACCTAGACACCTCTCTACTGCACCACTGTGGCCCCGTCTCCCCACGGGCCATGGAATGTGCCACTATGGGCTGTTCCCCCTGCAGAGCCTGGCCCAGCCCCACCAAGCCAGACCCTGGGAGTGGTCTGTGGGTCGGCCTGTTGAGGATGGTGGGGGAGCTAAGGGTGGGGTCCTGGCGGGGAGAGGGTGTCCTCTGCCTCACTGACTTCCTGAACACTCCTGGAGAGACATCCACAAGTCAACATGGGTGGGAGGCTGGGCCTCTCCCCAGTACCCCAACATCTGTGGGTCTCAGTCAGGGGCTCCCCAGAGCAGCCCTAAACCTGTCTGAAGTGGAGCCTCCTGCAACAGTGGCCTCTTCTCTCCACTTCACCACTGGTGAGGGATGAGGGGCGGGGGCCATGCGAGTGCTGTCAGACAGGCCAGGCGGGGCCGGACCCCACCTTCACCAGGCCCCCTCTGACCAGCAGCAATCACACAGCCAGGGGCGTAGGAGGGGCTGAGAGGCAGAGTTTGAGGAGCTCAGTACCAGGGCGGCAGGAGGAAGCGTCCCTTTGGGGCTGGTGGCGGCTGCACTGTTTTTGGTGCTATTCGTCTGGGGCTGTGGAGAGAGGGAAGAGGAACCCTTAGGCGGGAGAAGCCCCTCACTCGCCAATTCCCCATCCCGTGTCTGCCAGGATATGGGGGGAGGGGGACTCCAGAGCAGGAGCCCCAGGGAGTGGGGGTGAAGCTGCAGGCTCTGGGCCCCCCGGCACCCCCGGGCCCGGCCGGAGCCTCACCTTGACTCCATCTGCTTTCTTGTTGAGTAAACTCTTGGCTGCTGCGTGGGGAGGAAAAAGGCATGGTGAGTGCTGGGCCTGGGTCTCGCTGCAGCGCACCCCCACCCCTTTGCCTGACCCCACTCTTTCCCCAGGAGCAAGCCCAGGGTCCTGAGGCAAGTGTGGCTCCAGCACCCAAGCTGGCTCTGAGCAGGTGGGGGGCCGTCCCGTCACGCCAGGACAGCCCTGTCTCCAGCCTCCTCCGTGACCCTGGGGCTCCTATAGGCATCCGGATTTCTCCTCTGACCAGACCCAGAGATGCGCGTGGGTGCTGGGGAGTCCCATTGGCTTCTGGGCCACATGCAAGCTCTTCCTAGAGGAAGGCAGGATGCTGCCTCCTCCATGATGGGAACTCAGGACTAGCGGTGCCAGGTTGGGGTGGGGGCAGCTGAGCCAGCACCCCAGAGGTCATGCCCTCCCGGGCCACGCCATCCTGGGGTAGGGGTGGGTGGGCTGCAGCTGGCCGCCCACTCAGAGGGCCTTGTCCCAGCCCAGGCGCTCACCTTGCTCTCAGACCCCCGTACCTTGGCACCCAGGCCTCAGAGCTCTGCCCAGTGGGCCTCTCAGCTCAGGCACCGAGGGCAGCCCTGCTCGCCCTCATTCCGAGCTGCCCGGCAGCCCTGGCTTTGCGGCCGCTTCTGTGCACTGACTGGGGTCAGCACAGGCCTTTCTGCCCACAAGCCCCTGAGGACACTTGGTCCCAGCAGCGGGGTCTCCGCCTCACCCAACACTCCCCCGCAGAGGTCAGGGGGGCCTGGCCCCAGCCCCTGGTGCCCACACTCTCCACGGCTGTTAGGATTTTAATTACAGAACTAATAAATAAAAAAATAAAAAATAAACCAAAAGAGGAAGTCAGCTTACCTTACAGAAAAGGAAAGGTGAGAAGGGGAGGGAGTGAGGAAGGAAGAGAGAGAGAGAGAAAACAAGATTTGTGTTGGTTTCGGGAAGGGGCGCAAGCCTGCGGGCCCAGGACTCACAGGTGACCTGTCCTGGACCACGCTCACCAAAAAGAGCCGGGGCCATGCGGCCAGCCGGTGCAACAGGGTTAGAGAGGCAGCCAGGCTGGAGCCCAGGGGATGACGACGTGGGAAGTGTGGGGATGCTTGCCCCCGGGCCAAGCCGGGAAGGAAGGTGGCACAGCAACCCCCCACCCCTCCCCCACCTCCTGGCTCCAGGACCCTGGCTGGCCAGGCCGTGAAATTGGGTTCTCCTGCCTGGGGACCCTGGGCTGCCCATACAGGCCTTGGTGGGGACAGACAGGCACCTTTCAACCTAGGACTGCAGCGCTTCTCAAATGGGATCCTTCCCCCACCCCAGCAGCAGCAGCAGCAGAATTGCCCTGTACAGTCAGAAATGCAAATTCCCAGGCCCACCCCACCCTCCTGAGCCAGAACCTCTCCAGGGCGGGACATCTGTTCCATAAGCCCTCCCGGTGGTTCTGACGCTGGGTGCTCCAGGTTGCCGTGGAGATCAGGAGGCTGCACCCCGCAGGACACAGACAGGCCTGGGCCTGCTGCCTGCTGACCACCCCCTCCCTGTCCACATGCCCAGTGCTCCTCCTCCATGGCCCTGGCCCCTCCTGGGCTCTGTAGGGACTGGGGTCGTGCCTGACCAGTGGCTGCACGTGGCCCCGGGGACCCCATGTGCAGTGGGCACAGTTTCTATTCCCAGCCTCCCTTTCTTCACAGATCTCTAAACGCTCAACAATTTTGTATCAAGCCCAGGAGTCCCTCCCAGGATCCATGGAGAAGTAGAGGGGCCTCAGGCATCACTCTCCCGTCCCCAGGCCTAAGGCCCCACCTGGTGAAGCTGCGCACAGGACCACCTCCCTGATGCCCCAAGGCAGCCCTGCCCAGTGAGTTCCCAGGACCAGAAATGCCGACTGCCCACTTCCTTACAGCGCAAACTGAAAACTCTCCCCTTCGCTGTGGCTCAAATCTGCTTCCCTGTGGCTCAAATCTGCTTCCCTGTAACTTGGCTGTGGAGGGAGAGTCTTGAAGACTCAGAACTCAGGGTTCCAAGGCCCCCATAGCCCCCTCACCTGTCTGTGTATCCCGCCCTCTCTGCTCCCTTCCCATCTCCAGCACACACGACTCATCTCAGAAACATCTGCCCAGCGCCAGCCAGCCAGAGGCTGCAGCTAGGGGATACTGTCCTTGCTGGTGACCAGCTGCCCGACACGGCTGGGGGACAGGCTCCTCTTAGGAGCCTGAGTAAGGAGGCATCCAGCCTCGCCTTGAGGACATTTGTCGTGGGGAGCTGAACAGGCAAGGAAGGGACCCAGTCCCTTCCAGAAACACACATTTTAAAAAGCTGTGGCCAACTGAAGCAGGCGGTGTGCAGAAGGCAGGTTCTACCCACCCCCGAGGGGACAGCCAGGCACGCAACCTCTGCCAACCCAGCGGCACGTCCAGCCAGGCTCTGCATTGGAACTGGGGCCAGCACGGCACCCCAGTCAGCAGCGGAACTGAGCTCTTTCCCCGGGCATGTCCTCAGAAAATCCTCACAGGAAAGGAGGCAACACAGTTAGGCCCATCGGCGGGGTTGACAGAGACCCCGGACAGTCCTTGGTACTGAGGGTTCCATTTAGATCCTTGAGCTTATCAAAACCCGCATTTCCAAACTGTGCTGCTGGAGATGTACCACAGCAGCAGTGGGAAATAAAAAGACAGAAGTTCACAGTCCAGTGGGCGGCAAATGCCACGTACAAACCAGCCCTCATTGAAGGACTCAGGCCAACGCTGCCATCAGCGCTCTGGGAAGCCCTGCAGCAGACGCCCCTGTGGTCTCAGTCAGTTCCCAAACATCCTTCCTTGTGAGCTCGCTTTTACAACAATCGCTTGTGCACGCCTTGGGTGAGTGTGGGGTGCACAGGCCCGGCCCTCCCAAGCGCATGGCTCCTGGCCACCCATTTTTTGGGGGGCTGCTCATTTCATATCTCTGCCTGGGACTAACTACAGATTCACCATGGCCAGAGTCCTGTTGACACCCATCTACACTAACGTTCAAGGGCACGGGAACTGCCTTTCTGTGTCTCAAGTTCAAAGCATGCGTTAGGTGCCGCAGGAGCCTAGAGTAGGCGGAGCAGTCACAGGCATCCCAGATACCTGGGCTGGGGGTTCCGCAGGCCTCTGTGGGACAAGGAGAGACCCTCTGCCCTCCATCCTGGGAAGGCACTGCCCATTCCCAGGTCTCCAGGCCGGGGCAACTGCTGCCACCCTGCAGCTGGCCGGACACTGGGTCTCCTATGCCGTTACACCTGATCAGTGCAGGAGAGACCAAAGAGGCCAAACTGAAGCACACTTGACAGACGGGGTCTCTCTGAGGGTCGAGGGGGCTATGCCACATGGGCTGGTACCAGACTCTGACTGGATGGTACCAGACTCAGTTGCCATGGGCAGAGAACTGAGCTCCCTGCTCACTGCCGTGTGGTATGGCTGAGCTGGGCTGACCTAGCAGGATGGGCGGTCCCCTCAGCCCCGCCTCTGCCTTGTCCCCCTAGCTGGTCACCCAGGACAGCCATGCTGGGCTCTGTCCACATGCACTGACCACCCTCCAGGACAGAGCCGCTCTCGGCGCCCAGGGTGGAGCCACACATGCAGGGCCTCATGCACCGTCGCCCCACGTTCACTAGCAGGCAGGCGGGCATTGCAGCGGGAGCCCCGGGCACAGGGCAGCGTAGAGGCAGCTGTCTCTCAGCACTGTCACCTGGGCAGCAGCACCTCCCCAGAAGCCACTAGCCTCACCCTTTTCTAATCACAGCCCCCTTCCGCCTGTGCTCTGGAAAGGCCTGTCAAATGGAGCAGACGCAGGAGGGCCCTCCCGGGGTGCTGCCTGCTAGACACATCCACTGGGCTCATGGGAGGAGAACAGACTGCCCTCCCTGAGGACGGCCTGGGCCTCCCCAGGAGGAGGTCTCTGGCTGGGAAGGCCAGGCTGCTTACCCTGTGGGGTCATGAGGAGGCCTGGGGAAGGCAGTCCCCAGCACCCTAGAACCTCTGCTCGGTCCCCAGCCCATGTTGGAGGCACTGACAGGGAACTCGGTAGCTCAGCCCAGGGAGGACTTGGGGTTAGCCCTTTAGCCCTCTGTGTTCTGTGGCCAGGCGTTGCCAGCTTGGCCTAACCTAAGCTCTCACCAGCCCTCAGCTCAGGCTGGAGCTGCAAGGAGGTCTTGGGGTCACTTAGCCCTCATGGGGTCTGTCCATGGTCACAAGCCAGCAGGTGGGCAGAAGCCAACCTGGGCCTCTAGGCTCTGGCCCTGCACAGCCCAGAGGAGCAGGTGGGCAGTGCCGGCCTTCTTCCTCACAGGGTTTGGTGCCAGGGGAGGAGGACTTTGCAGAAACAACCCAAGAGGAAACCCTGAAAGTCTCCTCTGGGTGCCTAAAAGCCCCACTCCGCTCCTGAGCGGCCTGTCCTGGGGGGAGGCTCGGGGCAGACATGCACGTGTGGGACTCAGCAGCACAGACCACCGTCTCCGTGCGGCCCCCAAGGGGCAGGGTGAGGGTCTGCCCCAAGGGCCTCTGCCTCTCTGGCCCTGCTCCCCAAGGCTCTCCTTTCAGGACTCAGACCCCCCAGCAGCAGGCCCAGTGGCTCCCTGTGGGGCCCAGGCCATTCTTAATGGGGGTCTCCAGACCCCCAGACCTCAGGGGCCAGGACCAGAAGGGCTTGGTGTGGCCCATGGGTCACCCAGCCCAGCCCCTCCTCTTACAGGCGAGGAGCCTTGGGGGCTGCCTCCCTGCCCTTGTGGTGGGCACTGCTGGGATGTGACCACACGGGAGCAGGGGCTCCCGGGGGCCTGGCGGCCTCTGGGGCGGCTCTGGAGCCCAGCCAGCGGCTGTGTGCAGCAGGGGGCTGCATGCTGGCAGGAGGGATGGGCGGGAGCGGGCGGGACGCTGGTCGAGACACATCTACCTTGTTCCACCAGCCCCATGGTGGTGCCGGAGGCCGCGGTGGACATTGTGGCCGGAGCGGTGGTCTGTCTGCCCACTGTTAGCACCGGGTTAGAGACGAGGGGAAGGGAGGGGTGGGCGGACACAGACGAGGGGTGGGCGAGGTAAGGGAAGAAAAGAGACAAAGGAAGCAGAAGAAGATTAGAGTTAAAGTTTAGGTGACAGATGGTTCCAGAATCCTTTGCTCAAGAGAGTGAAAACAAGATTGGACTGATTGACACGGAAAAGCATTTGCCTCCTTTCTCCTTAGAAAACCCCAGTGGGGGCTTCTCGTGCCCGAAGGGTGTGGTGAGCACACAGCAGACAGGACAGTCCTATTAGTGTTGGTGTGACCGTGTGCACGCGTTCCCGGCAGTACAGCATCACAGCAAAAGTAACAGGATGGCGGGTGGGGGGCGCCAGATGCAAACGGACAACGAGAGAGACGGATCACAGACGCTCGCACACGGAGTGTCGGACGACGGAGAAGCCACGGGCACAGCTTGTCCAGACCTGGGCTGCCGGCTCCACTCTGGGGCTAACGTCATGCCCCAGATGGGTCTGCCAGCGCCCTGGGCCTCAGGGGTCTATAACAGACCCCACCCCTCCACAACACCCCACACCCCACCAAGAGAACTTGCTTCCCAACCACCCACTCTGAGCGGCCGGGGCAGGAGGCTGCAGCTCATCCAGAACTCGGAAGGAGGCCCCCGAGCCTCCCGCATCACCCCGCATCCCTTCTGCCCTCCTCCCGCACAAAACACATTGCTCAGAGCACTCAAAATGACAAGGAGGCCACACAGATGCCCGACAAACGCCTGGACAGACACACACGATGCTGTGAGCCCCAGTGGGGCAGCACAGACGCTCGTGTTCACGGGGTGGAGGGACACAGACCCAGCACGAAGGTGATGGCCTCAGGGGGCTGGACCCTGTGGTATCACCCAAGGTGGGAGCCCAGAGGGGCCAGGTGGGCAGTGGGTCTCAGAGCTGAGTGAGGCAGACGCCGAGGGAGGGCCTGCCGCAGAGGAGGGGTGGAGAGGCTGGTGAGGAAGGAGGCGCTCTCCTGCATGGGCCAGCAGGGATGGGGCAGCCCCTGTCTCTCTGGAGAAGAAAGGCTCACCTGAGAAATTCCGTGTGGCCAGCATGGTGGTGAGGATGGCTCCCTGGGGAGAGACACAGATAAAACCAGGGCTGTCCCATCAGTGTTCCCTGCTAGCTTCTGGCCAGGATAAGACCCCTGTCCTCCTGCCCAGATGCTCAGACTCATGGTATTGAGGCTGACATGACCTCAGCCTTCCAGAGAGGCAAGAGCTCCAGGAACCCAGCAGCCGCACTGAGGCAGATCACCTATTTCCAGAATTACACACACCCTGGGCCTAAACCTGTTGACCAACTACAGTTTCTAACTGCTTCAAGACCCCTCACGCCTCAGTGGTCACCAGAACAGCTGGTCACCTTGGCAGCTCCCCTGGGGTCCAGCTCCCTGACAGCCCCTTCCTTTCCTGACAGGCTCAGACAGGGCACCAGTCCTGGGGCTTCCGGGGAGAACCGCTCAGAGACCAGCAGAGGGCAGTCAGGCAACAAGTCCCCAGCCTGGAACTCACGAGTAGAGTGCGGTCACCGGAGCCAGCCCTGGCCAAAGCAGGCAGGTCGGATACCCTACTGGTGCCCAACTCCCTCCCCGACCTCCCCCGGCCCACCCAAGACCAGTGTGTGTGGCTCCGCTCTCCTTACCAAACCTGTCTGAGCCGGAAGCTTCAGACTTGCTTGTACTAAAGAATGTGACTGCCAGATGGTGCGTATGAGGAGCCTGCAGCCAGCACTTCAGGACGGCCCCTCCAAGGGCTGCTCGGAGGTGGCACAGACAATTAGGAGGGGCCACACCTGGCCCACGGCCCCTCTGGACTCGTTCCCAAGCTGGCCTGAGTTCACCTGATGCATCCAGTCTGGGACTTGCTAACACTCAGTCCTGGGGGCAGCAGCAACCCCTAGGTCTGCCCAGACCCTCCAAGGCCCCTCTGCTCCAGCCCAGAGGGACGCAGGGAAGCATGGCCATGCCTGGGACTAAGGGCCAGGGCCTCACCTTGAGCTTTCTCCTGGCATTGAACTTTTTCAGACACTCCACAGTCTCCTGTCTGTGCATCATGGAGGCTACCGTGGAACGTTGCTGTGGGGAAAGGGGTGGTCATATGGCAGCCAGGAGCCCAAGGCACAGGGGAGAGGCCAGGGTGGCAAGGCTTGCGGCACCCCGGGGTCCCCACATGCCAAAAGCCATCAGCCACCACTGCAGCAAGGGCCATCCGTCCCCCCCACCTGCCTGGGATTTAAGACTTGCCTTTCCCTTGCCTCACCACTCTGTCCCTCACAGACAGGACTGCAGTTGGGAGGAAGGGATTGCTTCTACCCTCCAATGCCCTCCAAGCCCCAGGCCTCACAAACGTGCTGGTGTGTCCCAAGCCAGAGGCCACAAGGAGCACCCAGGGGACCCAGGGGAGCTCTTGGGTATCAGGAACAGGACCCTCTTGGGGCCCTCGCCAGGGGAGTGGTCTGAGGCCACCTCCACCAGGAGCCCCCTCCCCGCCACTGGCACCGAGGGCGACTCACGCAGACCCACGGATGCTTCAGGGCCTCATGGGCTGTGATGCGCTTGGCAGGGTTGATGGTCAGCATCTGGTTGATTAGGTTTTTGGCTTCAGGAGTGACAGTGTCCCATTCGGGGGACGGGAACTGCAGAAGGAAACAGTGCCCCAGCCAGGCCTGAAGCCCCCTCTCGGGCAGGGGCCAGAATTCTCCAAGGGGCTTCATCTCTGGCCACCAATCTGGGAGAGCACGACCCAGGACCTGGCCACAGGTGGCTTCACCCTACTCCTGGCCTCTTCCCATGCTGCCCTTACCCGGCCACACCTGGAGGAAGGGAGCACGTCAGAGAGGGGCCAGTGCACTCACGTCGTAGGCGCCGGCCTTGATCTGCTGGTACAGCTTGTGCTGGTCCTCGTCCCAGAAGGGTGGGTAGCCCACGAGCAGGATGTACAGGATTACCCCTGCGGATGGGGCCTGTGAGCACCACAGCCACTCGTAGGGTGCCACCATCCATGGAGCCCATGCCCTGCACCCTCACTGCCCAGCTCCTGTGGCCCTGGGAGGGCACTGGGGTCCCCAGCATTCCTTTGCCCCCACCTGTGCTGCAGACACTGGGGCAGAAGGGCACAGCCAACCCCTCCACACTCTGCCCCACACCCAAACTATCATGGGGATGCAGATGCGGGTGGCGCTAAGCCCCTCTGCTGCTACCCACCTCTGTGGGAGGATACCCCTACCCAAGAAGGGGCCCTGCCCATGGCCCAACAGTTTCTGACCTCTCCTCTCCACTCCCGTCCACCCACCACACCTCTGGACCAGACCTCTGCTGAGCGCAGGCAAGCACTGGGGTGCGCCAGGGTCATGTGAGTGATTCTGATCTGGGTGGAAAGGGAGCTCCTGGCTGCGTGGGCAGACCCCTGCCAGGGCAGCTCTGACACAGATAAATCCAGATGAGAGCAACACGTGCTGGTCACTGCACACTCCAGGATGTAGTGGGAAGTCCTAAAACACCCGAGGCCCTGCTCTGCACCAACTCAGGCCAGGCCTCACCACATGCCCAGATGTCCACGGGCTTGCCATACGCCTCTTTGCGAAGGACCTCAGGGGACAGGTAGCCTGGTGTGCCAGCGAACCCTAGAGAGAGGGGAAGAGGCCACGAGGGGCTGTCACACCACCTCCTCCCTGCCGACTGCCAGCCAACACACCCTGCCCCTGGCACTCACCAAACCACGCCTGCTGGTCCCCCTGCACCTCGATAGCCAGGCCGAAGTCTGCCAGCTTCACTGCAGCCCCTTTGCACTTGCTGGCCAGGAGCAGGTTCTCCGGCTGCAGGGAGGTGACCGGCACAAGGGTGCACGTTGTTTAAACCCAGAGGTGTTATGCAGGGAGGGGTGGGAGGTTACAAAACAAAGAAAACAGTGGTTTGCAAGAGACAGGTGCACAGGTCTGAGCCCTGCCCCATGGTGTCTGCAGGGCACAGCTGAGCCTTCACCCCAGAGTCCCAGATGCTGAGCCTGCAACCCCACAGCCCCTCTGCCCCTGGGGATAGAGACACAGCAGCTCTGGCCTTTTAGAGGAAAGCTGGCTCTCAGCCTGAGCTTGGATCCCCATACCCTGAGAGGGCGACCTGGGGGCCAGTTGGACCAAAACCTCAAGCTCATCCTTACAAGCAAACTGAATGTTCCCCACAGCTCTGGGGCAGACCGTGCAGTGGCTGAGGGCTCCCGTGGCCCTCGGACTCCCACTGGCTGAGGGACTGCAATGGCCCTCCCTCTCCTCCCTGTTTCCCACTCCCCAGAGACATGTGATGTCAGAGGCTCTTGAGGGGAGGTTCAGGTATTTCCTACTGAGATGGTGACCTCCCAAGGGCAAGGAGAAGCACATAGGGGCCTCAGCACTAGGGGCAGCCCAGGACATCCACCCACCAAGTGCCCCTGGCTCTGGTCATCTCCACTACATGGGGCAGGAAGGAGGCCCCTGCAATGAGCCCCTGCCCGCTGGGTACCCACAGGTCGGGGGTTACTCCGGCCCTGACACAGGGAGCAGTGCCCTTGCTCAAGCCAGAAGGACACCTGCTCCCTGTCCTGCAGCAGCGCCAAGGAGGCTGCTGTCCCCAGACTGGGGACACTTGGCACTGAGGGCCTGAGGGGGTCCCAGGGCCACTGCATCCCGTGGGGCCTTCCTGTCTCAGCTTTCAAAACCACCAGGCTCTGGTCTACCCATCAGCCTCACCACATCCCAGCAGTGGGGTCTCTCAGCTGCAGGCCTTCCTTGTCCGTGACCAGCAGGGGGCGTCCCTGGAGCCCTCAGGTCCCCTTGGCCAGCCTCCCAAGCCACCCCTTCGCCCTGGTGAGTGCCCCATTGTCCTGGCACAGCTTCCATCTGGCGCAGTACCCTCGGGATCACACTGCTGCTTGATGAGCCGCCAAAAAAGACAAAACAGAGCCACTCCACCCGCTTTTAACACTGGTTGTAAACCTCAGAGATCTTGAAATGTGAAAAAGTAGCCCCCAAGATGAATGACATATGCTATCCCCACGTGGAAAGACTGCCACAGCCCCGAGCTGTGAGTGCCCCTCAGCAGAAACCCAGAGCTTCCTTGAAAGCTCCAGCCACGCTCTACTGAGCAGGCGGGATGAGGCCGTTTGCTCCCTTGACAGGGCAGCACTGGGGGCTTCTGTCCCCCACTTCCACCTCCTCATCACTGTGGGGGTCCCAGTCTACATGCATCCCTGTCTATCGAGCACCAACCCACAGGCCTCTGGACACGGTGATTTTGCCAACATGAGTGGGTGGAGGCCCTAAGCTCCCTGTGCAGCCACATGGAGAAGTCGGACAGAGGAGGGGCAGAGGCTGCATTTCTCCATCCAGCCCAGAGCAGACTTGCCGCAGGTGCCCCTTTCCCGGAGGAAACAGACCAGCAGTTCTTCTGAAGAGAAGGAGCATTAAGTGAACATGGGCTGTAGGAAGCACTGGGCGAGAAGGCCTGGAGGCTCCAGGGTAGCTCTGAGGCTGTGCCCACCCCTGCTAGGCCACCTAGTGCTGCTCCCACCTACAGCTCCATCCTGGCTCTTTTGCAGCTCCCTGGGATGACATCAACTGCCCTCTGCTCTCCGCCACCCTCCCCCGTGGGGTAAGAGCAACCCCATCACTCTGCTGCTTCCTGGGCTGTCACGATCAAGATGGTGGATTTCCGTCCAGGAGAAAAGGACATCCTGTCCCCCTCAACAGGAGGTTGAGACACCAAGAATTCTGTTTGTCCCTCAGATTGGGGAGGAGGTACCATTGACTTCCACTTCTATGCCTTGGCCCCAAAGTTAACCAGATAAATCATGGGGTCTGGTAACAAAATGCCTGTGACCCCTCACAGGAGAACCACTGAATCCTAGCACCAACCCATGTGGCCCCAAGAGGAGCACCTGGGGGCCGTCTCCTCCCAGAGGCGCCTGAGTGAGGCTGACTCACGTGAGACACAGCAGGACATGCTTGGAATGCAGAGATGAGAGGGAGCAGGGGGCACAGTGGCGTGTAAAGGGCATAGGAGAGGGTCCCAGATCTGCTCTTGGTGTGGCGCTCTCCCCAGAGCAGTGCAAAGATCATCGATGGCCTAAGGAAGGGTGTGACCCCCATCCAGCATGAAAACCAGTGGGCAGGTTGGTCTTAAATGCCTTCAGGGTGATGGCCCCAGGGTCTGCACTGCTTGCCTGTCTACAGAGAAGCAGCAGGCTGAACCAAGCCTTGGGGAAGGTGGGGTTGAAGAAGGAGGAAAGAAGATTGGAAGGGAGGAAAGAGGGAGGAAGGGAGAGAGGGAGGAGCAGAGAGACAGCTAAGCTTCTGAGAGGCCACCCTGTGCCCTGGGGGGTGACCAACCTTCTTCCGAAGAGAGCCTAGAACTGTTTTGCCCAGACCTAAGCTGGGGGCAGCAGAGACTTGGAGAAAGGGCTGGGAGGACTTGGCAGACCCTGGCGAGTCCTGATGTCACCACCCTGCTCCCAACAGTGTCAGCCCTCTGTTACCTGTGTCCCACCTGCCAGAGTGGAGTCTTGGCAGGGGCTCACAGTGAGACCCTGAGTGGACATTTGTTACTAGCTTTCTCTATCGCCCAGGCTGGAGTGCAGTGCAACAGGCTGATTTCTGAAGACTAACCTCTCCCAGCCCTGAAGGTCCAGAGGGGAAGGGAGGGCCATGTGCAGACACCCCCCCCAACACACAAGTGCACACACATGCACATGTACACACATGCCCACAAGACATGCACACACATGCATACACGCACACATGTACCCACATATCACATTCACATATGCATTCACACAAACATGCCCACACACGTTTGCACACACATACACACTTGTACACACATGCACACACATGCATGCACGCAGTCCCCACACACATGTGCATGCACAGATGCCATATGTATACACACATGCACACAGGCACACATACAGACATGCGACCACTCATGCAGACATACGCACTCACCCCTCTATGTGTGCACATACATGTACATCCCCGCACAGGTGCAAGATGCACACACGAGCATGTATACACACATGCATACACACACAATACCTCCACCCAGGCATGCACATATGTATACACGAACCTCCATGTACACACATGTATGCACACGCACACACATACTTCTATGCACATGACACATGCACACTTACATACAGGTGCACACACATAAGCATGCACACATGCCTCCACACATGCACACACATATGCACACCCTCTACACAGGAGGTGCACACACATACACATACACATGCACATGCATGCACACACTCCATGCATGCACACAAGGACACACACACACATATACCTCTCTCCCTCCAAGCTCCACAGTGCCCCACACTGTCCAGCCCCTCACACTTCCTTGTACACAGCATGCAGGTACAGACAACAGACACCTGGCACAGAGTGGGGTGGGGACTCACCTTGAGGTCTCTGTGGACGACCCCCATTTGGTGACAATGGAGAACGGCCTCCAGGATCTGCTGGATGCAGTGACTGTGGCAAACAGCAGGTGGGTTAGTGCAAGTGGCCCCGGGGAGCAGCAAGAGGAGGCACTGGGGGCAGGGGCAATGGTGCTGTGTGGCCTGGGGTACCAGGGGGACAAAGCGAGTCAAGTGGGGAGGAGATGCTGGCCAGGAGGGGCCTCTGGAGCTCCTTCCTCACCTCCAAGGCCAGCAACCCTGGCCCTGGCCCTGCCTTCCCCTCTGGGTCCGTATCTGCTCAGAGGGCACAGCCAGGCACACAGAAGTGACTTTCAAAGGAAACACCCCTGTCCCCAGGCTCCTGCTGGCCAAGCCTGACCCTAAGCTGGGCACCCTCAGGAAGGAGGCCAGGCTGAGCCTGTACCCTGCAAGGCGGGCTGAGGTGAGTGGGCCAGGTGAGAGGGCTGGAAAACCAAGACAGGAAAGGGCCAAGGCGGCTGGGGGTGGGGGCAGACGGCTGCCTGGTGTGCGAGAAAGCCCCAGGCACCAGGACGCTGCTCTGTGCTGGAGCAGAAATAATGTGCTCAGGCACATGTTATTTCATTTTAATAAAAAGTGAAACCCGCCTGGGCGTGGTGGTTCACACCTGTAATCCCAGCACTTTGGGAGGCCGAGGTGGGCGGATCACCTGAGGTCAGGAGTTCAAGACCAGCCTGGCCAACATGGCGAAACCCCGTCTCTACTAAAAACATAAAAATTAGCCGGGTGTGGTGGCGCATGCCTGTAATCCCAGCTACTCGGGAGGTTGAGGCAGGGAGAATTGCTTGAACCCAGGAGGTGGAGGTTGCAGTGAGCCAAGATGGCTCCACTGCTCTCCAGCCTAGGTGACAGAGTGAGACTCCTTCTCAAAAAAAAAAAAAAAAAAAAAGTGAAACCTAAGCTTCCACATTGGCTGGTGGCTACCGTGTTGGGCAGCTCAGTTCCAGCAGCACTAGGGGCATCTAGCTCAGCTCCCAGGGATCTGAGGGGCTGGGCAGGGGGCTGTGTGTGCGCAGCACTGAGCACACGGAGCTTCCCCTTCAACCCTTCCTCTCATAGTCAGGGAGGGCTGTTGGCAGAAGTCCCGGGCTCTTCCAGGCCATGACTGGCTGGGAGGAGAGGTCCAAGCTGCTCTCAGGCCACCTCCCTGACACCTGTCCTAGAGCACATCAGACCCAGGGCCACGGAGCCCCTGCACACACCGAGAGCCTGTGGCTTGAATCTGCTTCTGCCCAGGTGCCCCTGGAGCCCAACACAAGCCCCTCCCTGGGGACAGCTCCACAATGCAGGGTGATAGCAGCCACCACCTCCGAGGCTGCCCTGCTGGGCCTGGAGGCATTTGCCACAGGCTGCCAATGCCCACCTGCCTGGGGTCTCAGTCACCGCCCCACTGGGCAGGGTCAAGGGAGGGACGGGAAGACCCCCCTCAAGACCCTTCTATCGCAGCCAGATCCTTGGGGACAGGAGGGTGACCAGGGTCAGCAAGATGAGTGGGCTTTGTTTTCCTAACAGCAAATTCAGAGAGGACACGGGAGGCCAGCCCTCTTCCTCAAATAGCTCCCACCCCTCCTGGTCCCATCTGCACAGCGTCAGCCATTACATTTAAAAGTGAATCTGAGTTTCCTTCTGAAGAAACCCAGCCCTCAGAGTCCTAACGGGTAAAGGACTCCTGAGGTGTGTGGGGTCAGGAGAAACCAGGCCCAAACTCATGGGAGACAGCCCCTTGGTGGTGTCACTTCAATGTCACCAGAGTGGGAGCCACAATCCTATCTCCATGCTCCATGTGCCCTGGGGTGTCCTGCCTTCCCTCCTCCCCATGTGCCCTGGGGTGTCCTGCCCCTTTGTTGAAACACCCTCCCTTCTCCCTGGCCTACACCTAGAGACTTCTTCCTGGCCTCTTCTGCTCCTGCAACTCCCGTAGGGGGCTGTGTCCCTGAAGTCAGCCCATGACAAGCCTCTATGAGGGCCATCTACTTCCCATGATGCTCTCATCTGCCTGGACCAGCCCCTCCTCCTTGTTCCTGAGGGGGCCTGGCATCTGTTCCTTTGAATGGCCAACTGTGTCCTGGCAAGGCCTGTGAGCCTAAGCACAGCGAGCTGGCTGCGGGGGCTTCCCTCTGGTGGGCAGACTCAGCCTCCCTATGGGACGGGAAGCCCGGGCAGCGGGGGGTGAGGCTGTGGGGTCAGATATCCACAGCCATCCAGATGGGTCCAGATGCAAAGTGAGCTCAGTGTGGCCCTCCCAGGGGCCAGCCGGCCCCTTCATGCACTGCTGTGTGGTGTGGACGGTAGCAGCCCTGGCCAGATCCTGTGGTCAGTCTTGGCCCTGGTTTGTCCTGGGAAAAGCATAGATCTTGGGCTCCTCCTATCCAACTGTGTGCACTTTTCCCCAGCCCATCCCCGTGGTCCATCACTTCCCTGAGGGCTGGACTTTCCTCTGCCCTTAGGCACTATCCTGGTGGAGTGATGTGTGCAGAGGTTGTGGTCACCAGGAAGTGCTACCTCCTTGGACACCAACATGCACCCCACAGACTACTGCTGAGGGCGAGAGTTGAACCTTCCTCGTCGACCTTCTTTCAGCCTCAGACTTACTAAGTCCTGGCCGCAGCTCTGGCCATGCCCTGTATCCTCCTTCCTCCCCCGATGTCATCGCCCCCTGACTCCACACTTGGCTCACCCAGTCCTCCTCGGCCTCCCCTGCTAGTGGTGCAGGGCCCCAAACCCATGCCAGAGACAGGGGGACTATGGGGCCAGCATTGGGTCTGCACCTCTCCATGGTGTCCTTGAGGGTATGATGGGGACTTGGCATGTGTTGCTGAGATCAAGTCCATCCCGTCCATTGTCACACAGGCTCCAGGCCCTGCAAACGCATGCTCAGGATCGAGTTGGCTGAGCAAGCCAGGGGTTCCCAAGACAAGGCTGCACCCAGCAGGGTAGGTGGGATGGGACAACCACCTGGCCTCGGACAGTTCATTCAGGGCGGTCCCTGCACTTTAGGGACCTGTCCTTATATTGCCTTTATCCTGGTATAATCTGAGACTATGGCCCTTGGAGGATGTGAGATCTCATCGTCACGCCATCTATCTGCCCTCACCTTCTGTTAACATCGCTGTCTTCTCTAGGAAGGGCAGACCCCCACTAGGTTTGTTTTTGTTTTTTTCATGTTTTGAACAGTTTATAAGGTGTCACTCTTGTGATTAGAACTGTTTCCAAGCAGCATTTGGGACGTTATTCTCAGCCTGGGCTCTGATGTCCTCCCCGTCCGGGGACAGTCAGCATTGCACACAGTCCCTTCACTCATCTTTCAGAAGTAACCTTGCTTTTTTTTTTTTTTGAGACGGAGTCTCTCTCTGTCACCTAGGCTGGAGCTCAGTAGCGCGATCTCGACTTACTGCAACCTCCACATCCTGGGTTCAAGCGATTCTCCTGCCTCAACTTCCAGAGTAGCTGGGATTACAGGCATGCGCCACCACGCCAGGCTAATTTTTGTATTTTTAATAGAGATGGGGTTTCACCATGTTGGCCAGGATGTTCTCGATCTCCTGACCTTGCGATCCACCCGCCTCGGCCTCCCAGAGTGCTGGGATTACAGGCGTGAGCCACCGTGCCTGACCGCCACTTTGCTTTTTAAGGATTTTTTTAAAAATGGGTTCTAAATGTTTTGAACTTTGCTTTCCCTGTTTGAAGAAGACATGGGCACCCTTTAGTTCCCCCATAAACTCCAAAGTAAGACCCTGCTTCCTCCTAAGATGAATTTCCAGCTTTGTTGGTTAGAAATGAGTTCAGAAAAGCAATGACTGTTCTGTTTCTTCTTGTTCCTTAGATGGGGCGCATCCAGAAATCTGTCAGCTGCTCCACGGCAGCAGCTCCTGGCCCTTGGCAGGTACCAGGCAGGGCATTAGTACACTTGCCCTGGCTGCGTCTGGGTGGTTCAGAAAGCACCTCCCTGCCCAGGTCTGGCCAGGAGGCCTCGGCCCATCCTGTCCCATGCCTGTCCTTCTTTACCTCTGTCTCAGCACAACCCCGACTGTTCAGACGTGGGGCTCCGCCCGGGGATAAGTTAAGCCCCCTCCTTTGCTCCAGTCCTGCCCCGAGTCTGTGGCGATGCCTGTGGAGTAGGGGCCCACGAGAGCCTCTGTCAGACTCTCCACCAAGATCCACTGCTTGAAGGCTGAAGCTCATGCACAGAGAACAAAGCCGCTGCGGCCCCAGGCAGGGCACGAGGCTCACCCAGAAAGAAAGGAGCCCAAGGCTGCTGAAGCCTGAGGAGGGGCCTCGTGCCAAGGCTGTTGCACTAGCAGGGCCAACCCAGGAGGGGTTCTCCAGGAGGCTCCTTCCCTCTCCATGTCCCCTCTCCCGCTCAGCCTCCAAAATCACTGCCCAGATCCTGGCACCCTCTACAGGACGCAGGCCGTGCACCCCCTCGCTCCCCACAGTCTGGCTACGGAATGCCCTCCATTTGAGCTCCAAACCCTCAACGGAGGCAGTGGAGTTTCTAAGAGAACATCTCTTCTGGCTGGTTCCAAGGGACCCCATACACCAGGGGTGCCCTCTGCATCGGGAGTCCTGTGAGAGGAGGTGGGGAGACCTGGGTCAGAGCAGGGAACACTATAGTTTGCTCTGGCAAAGGTTCCTGGGACCTGAACAGCCCAAGCATTTCCTGAGGACCCTAGAAATCCCTTTCTTCTCCCTTCCCGAGGCTACCCTGAGGCTGCTCCAGACCTCGCCAGGCCAGTTCTGCGGTCCCCTGGCCCACAGCAGAAAATCTGGGGTTCAAGCAGGTGGGACTCCTGCTGCCAGGCCAGACACCCCAGGGCCCGCCACGGGGAGGGGCTGTGGGTGTGTGGGGGGGTGCTGTGTGGCCATCAGAGACTCAGACTGAGGAGGGAGATGCCGAGCAAGCCCGTGCCTGTGGATTGGGCAGAGGGGCTGGCGCTCCGGAGGGAACTGGCCTGGTGTGATGAGGAAGTCACAGGTGACCCCTTCGCCCCCATGGCTGGGGCTGCCCCATTCCAGCCTCCACCTGGGGCGGCAAGGGGTGCAGCATTCTGGGCAGCCTGACTCTCAAGCTGCCCCCAGAGCGGGAGACAACAGGCTGTGCTTCCTTCCCCAAACCTGATGAACACAATGACGCCTGAACCACACAGTGGGGCCAAAAGGGATCCATGGGAGCAGAGGGGCTCTGGGCGGTGCAGGACATCGCTAAGGAGGCAGAGGGAGCATAGGAGACAGTGGGGCGCAGGGGGGCAGGGGAGAGGGCTGGAGGTGGCAGGTGAGGAGGAGGGTGGGAGTGAGGGGCCTGTGATGGGGCATGGGCAGGGGGTGAGGGTGGGTGAGGGTGGAGCTGTGGTCTAAGGTACTCCTGAGCCCTAGCTGTGGGGTCTGATCTGCTGATGGGAGGCTCTAGGAGGCCACATGCCCCCATCCTTGCCCAGCATCTGCCCACCCCTCAGGGCACTCCACCCACCCTAGGATCCCACCTGCCCCGGCAGGTGTCTGGATGGGCCACCAGGGACCCTCGAGTCTACCTGGCCAGCAGGCAGGCAGCAGCACGCTCTGTGACATATCTCACCCCAGAAGCTCAGAGCAGGGGGACAGGGCTCCGTTCCACTTTCTACTTTTCTTCTAAGTAGAATATAAAGGAAAACCTCGTCTTTCTCCGCTCCAAGGGCACAGGCCTCTCCAGGCTGTTCTGCAAACTACAAAGTTCCTCCTCAAGGATCCTTAGAAAAGAAGCCAGTGCCCCGAACCCCACAGAAGTCTGGGGCCAAGAGACTCACCAGTTCTGTCCCTCTCCCTGCCCGGCTCTAGGGGAGGCCCAGTGGCAGCAGAACTGCTCGCACTGCCCATCAGGGATGCGGGCCATGTCGCCAAGGGCAGTTTCCTATTGGTGCAGAGGCAAGTCACATTAAACTACTCCTGCTACTTTAAAAAAAATTCATTTTTCTGGATCAGAAAAGTAATACATACTCATTTTAAAAAGGTTTTTTTTGAGACAGAGTTTTGCTCTCGTTGTCCACCCAGGCTGGAGTGCAATGGCGCAATCTCAGCTCACCACAAACTCCGTCTCCTGGGTTCAAGCGATTCTCCTGCCTCAGCCTCCCGAGTAGCTGGGATTACAGGCATGCGCCAGCATGCCCGGCTAATTTTGTATTTTTAAGGGTTTCTCCATGTTGGTCAGGTTGGTCTCGAACTCCCGACCTCAGGTGATCCGCCCACCTTGGCCTCCCAAAGTGCTGGAATTACAGGCGTGAGCCACCGGCCTGGACTAAAAAGAGTTTTTAAATAGACAAAGAAGATACAAATTTAAAATCATCCACAATTTCACTACCTAGTGAGGTCCTCCGTTAGCCTTATTTACGTATTTATTTTTTGAAGACAGGGTCTTGCTCTGTCACCCAGGCTGGAATGCAGTGGCACGATCTCGGCTCACTGCAACTTGGAACTCCTGGGTTCAAACCATCCTCCTACCTCAGCTTCCCAAGTAGCTGATGTGCATGTGTGCCACCATGCCTGGCTAATTTTTAAAAGTTTTTGGTAGAGAGGGGGTCTCATTATACTGCCCAGGCTAGTCTCAAACTCCTGGTCTCAAGCAATCCTCCTGTCTTGGCCTCCCAAAATGTTAGGATTACAGGTGTGAGCTACCATGCCTGGTCTCAGGTTTTTTGTTCGTTTGTTTGTTTGTTTGTTTTTAATACACATCTCTGTGGCAGAGCAGGGTGGGCAGAGCCCAGTGGGCAGGGAGTAATGCTGTCAGCTGTCCTTGAGGTGAGATGTACTATTACAAGAGACATCCTTGTCAGGTGTCAGGGTGGCATCTGGCCTGGGCCACAGCAGGCTACCAGTGGCCTATGCTTCCAGGGACTGGGCCCTGTCACCTCCCCAGCTGACATCTGCCATCCCTCAATCTGGTCTCCAGCAGCCAGGCCACCAACAGCCATCTCTGAGACCATCTGTACCTCTTCATTCCCCCTGGGGAGGGCTGGCCTTGTGGGAAGAGCTGCCTGAGGGTCCACAGGAAGCCCCACCTGGATGGAGCCCAAGTTCCTCCATTCCATCCCCACACTGGGAGGCCCACAGACCCAGGGCCAAGCCCTCTGAACAGGGCCCTGGGCGTGGAGGGGAGGTGGCCTCTTGGCTCTGCACTGAGGTTACAAGTTTCCTTTGGCTTCATGCCCATCGCCCTGGGGTGTGGGTGAGCAAGGATGCTCAGGACCAGACGTGAGTCAGAAAGAGCAGCAGGAGTGGGTGAAGGAGGGGTGGTGAGGGTATAAGGGAAGAGGGACAGGACAGCGTGAGGGCTCTGCACCCACCTGGCATCAGCCTCGCTGTAGTATTCTCTCGCCACAATGTCTTCAAAGAGCTCCCCACCAGTGACCCTATGGGAGAAGCATGAAGGGGTCACAGATTCTGGAGACCCCTGTCACACTGTCACCTCCATTACTACCACCACCACCACCACTATCATCGCCATCACTCCCATCATCACTAATGTCACCATCACCAGCATCATCACAATCATCATCACCACCACCAACTACCATCATCACCAACCACCATCACCATCACTACCACCATCACCACCAACCAACATCACCACCAACCATCACCATCACCACCAACCAACATCACCATCACTACCACTATCACCAGCATCATCACCAGCATCACCACCACCAACTGTCATCACCAACCACTATCACCACCACTATCACCACCATTACCACCACCATCACCATCACCACCACCACCACCATCATTACCATCACCATCACCACCACTATCACCATCACCACCACCATCACCATCACCACCACCATCACCAACACCATCACCATCATCACCATCACCATCACCATCACCATCACTACCACCACCCTTACCATCACCACCACTATCACCATCACCACCATCACCACCACCACCACCACCACCACCATCACCACCACCATTAACACCATCACCACCATCACCATCATGAACACCACCATCACCACCACCATCACCACCACCATCACCACCATCACCACCACCATGACCACCATCACCATCACCAACACCACTATCACCATCACCAACACCAACACCATCACCACCATCACCATCATCACTACTATCACTACCATCATCACCATCACCTACACCACCACCACCACCATCACCATCACTACCACCACCACCATCATCACTATCACTATCACCACCATCACACCATTACCATTATCATCACCACCACCACCATCACCATCATCACTTGGGACTGACAGCTTACTAGTGCTTACTTATCTATAATGACATTTAACATTGCAGTCCTCACAACCACTCTATGACTTTGGTCTATACTCCATTTTTATGGATGAGCAAACAAGTTTCAAAGATTTGGTGACTTGCACAGAGTGGGCAGCACAGGAGCTTTGTCTCGGGGTCTGCATTGTTACACCCAGGCCTTGTGACTCAAATTCCAAGTCTGAGAAGATCTGGTCTCCCCTCCTCAATACTCTCCCACCCCCACTTAGGGCCAGAGTGGTGGCCCTTGCACAGGATCAGAGGCCCAAAGACACGGTGCCTAAATCTAGCCTCTTTGGTGGCCCGGGGTCTTGAGGTGTTCAAGGTCCCATCTCTAGGAGGAGAACAGAGATGACAGGCAGAAGGGAGGTCTCTGACCACTCTCCTGCCCTGTGTCTCCACCCAGTGAGTAGTCATTGGGCTCTACGGTCAGGATAGACCCTGTGAACAGAAGCCACAATCTGAAGGGCCTCTGGGAGCTGGGTAATGTGGGCATGGAACAAAAAGGTGGAGGGGCTGGATGCACGGCAGGGGAGTAGGACAGCCCTCCATAGGTCTGCCCAAGCCCCTCACACACTCAGCCTGCTTGAGTCGGCTGGAAGACTCCCCTAGAAGTTCCCACCCCTGAGAAGGTTAGGGTCTCTGCTCCCACACCACCTCCTGTGACCCTATGTGTGGGGCAGGCCTGTGGGGCCCGAACCCCTCCTCTGCCTCTGCACCCTCTTCCCCATCCCCCCACCTGCTCCACTGCACTGCCCAGGCGCTGTGGCTTCTCTATCTGCCTGGCAGTTTTCCCCATTGGTTCTGGAAAGTAGGGCTTAGGTCTTCCTCATTTTTGGGCCCAGCACTTGGGGCTGGGCTGGTCCACGGCAGGGAAGACCCAGGGAGTGGGTCTGTTTAACATGTGACCTTGGCACATGTGGATGCTCTCTCAGCACTGGAGAAAAAGAAAAGTGAGCATGTGTTGAATGTTGGCTCCCCCCTGCTCCAGCTAAACACATGCCCTGATGATCCCATTGAATCCCCTCAAAATCCTTCGAGCAATGTGAGGGTGAAATGCACTGGGAAGACACCCAAGTCCCTGGCACCTAGCAGGGCATTAAAGGACTGGGTGTTCCCTTTCCTTTCCCCGTTTTTCTGTCTGGGCTAGGGGCTGCGGGCTGGGGGCAGGGGCTCTGCCTCTGTTACCTGACTGGCTCTGCTGTTCTGTGTCCCCAACCTGCACCTGACATAAGACCTGGAGCTCTACTCACCCTTGCTCACTCCTCTGCATGCCTCTCTCACTCCTCATGGGCCAGCACATTTATACAGCCAATCAACCACCAGATCAACCACAAGGAAACAAAACAGTGTTGACGGGGGCCCTTCCCAGGGTCATCTGGTCTGGCTCCTGAGCTTGGCCTGTCCGTGAGGGGGTGTGTGTGCATGTGTTCACATGTGTGGGTGCCTGTGTGTGCCCTTGTGTACATGTATACTGGCTTGTGCATGTGAGTACATGTGCATGTGTGTCTGCATGTCCATCTGTACCTATGTGTGCCCATGCGTGCACTCATGTTCATGTATATTGTTTTACATGTGTGCATGCGTGCCTGTGTGCATGTGTGTACAACTGTGTGCCTGTGTGTGCCCTTGTGTACTTGTAGAGCAGTTTGTGCATGTGCACACGTGTGCATGTGTGTCAGTGTGCATGTTTGTACATGTGTGTGCTTGTGTGTATACATGTGCATTGGGCGGGAGGATCAAATCCCACATCTAGCCCAGCAAGGGTCTGGCATGCCCCAGTGTTGTGCCATAACGGTCCAGGTCTTGGCACACATTAAACACAGATTAGGCTCTGTAGATGCTGAGTCCAGGCACAGAACAGTAGCTAAAAGGCCTTAAGGTCTTGAGCCAGGGCTGCAGCCCAGAGTCCCTCCAAGGGGTGCCTCACTAGGGCTGATGCCAGGCCCTCTGGGGTGCTCTGTGTGGTCAGGAAGCTGCATCTGAGACTCCCTGGCCAGGGCCATCTAGTGGTTCAGTTTCAGGGAAGGGAGTTTGCTTCTCCACCCACGTTGGTTGCTGTGGGGAGTTTGGGAGACTCAATACCGGCCCAGGAGGAACATAGTCTGGGAAGGCACACATATGATTTCATGGTCCCCTTTCCTTAGGCTGTGGGGGACACATGGCCGATTCTAGGCTTCAGCCATGGCACCTATGGGAGCTTCTGTCCTCTGGGTGTGCAGGTGTGTGTGAGACCCTCTATTCCCAAGCCTGGTTCTCAAGCCCTGTGACATTCCCAAGCAAGGGGAGTGGGGATATCTGTCAATCCCCCAGAATCCACAGAGTCCCCAAACTACTGTGGGGCCTCAGGGCCTCCTGAGGGCGATGCCAGCCAACTCCAGAAACCACTGTCCCGGCCCTCTGCTGGCCTGAGGCTGGCTGAGGCACAGGGGCCATGGAGGTTTGTGGGGAAGACATGCAGGGTCCTTCCTGACTCATCAGCCAATGTCTTCTTCCCAGCCTGCCTCAGGGCCTCCACTGACACCTGCCTGGCATGTGCTTGGCAAGGCGGGAGACATGAGAGTCTCTCAAATGGGCACACACATGCACGAACACACCGCCCTTTCTTCTCCTCAGCTCCTGTGACACATGCAGCCATCTGTTGACCACCAGGGCCCCTGGACAGGACCAATCCCACAGTCTCTCCATTTCCTGGGAAAAGAGGCTGATGGAGGTGTGGTGGGGCCCACAGGTGTGCAGCAAGCCTGCCAGCTCCCCAGGGCCACAGGACAGACGTTTCAGGACACAGCCTCAGCCAGGCCGTGGCGACTGTGTCCAGGTCAGCCCCAGTCACCTGGCTGGTGATTGCAGTTGGTGTCTTGTGGGACATGCAGGGGAACCTGAGAGGTGGCCAAGCCCCTGCAGGGACAGTCTCAGCTTCTCTAGGCCAGAGAACCTCACGTGGACAGAGGCCTCCTCAGGCCTACATGTGCCATGGCCTGTCGTCTGTCACTTGAGGAAGGAGGAGCTGAGAGGGCAGTCCCCATGCAGGCGCGTCCTATCTCTGCTTGGCCTGCACGCTCACAGCAGCCATGGGGAGGGCCTGGAGTAACCATGGCAATAGCACCAAGGTTGGGCTTCTCTGGCTGTGCGGCTGCCTGGGGGCCACAGGGCCAGGCTAAGGCCTATGGGCCCTTGCCCAGGTCAGGGTCCTGGAGCAGCACTGACTCACAGACAGCTAAATATAGCGCTGCTTAGCAGGAACTGTCAAAAGTGAGGGAGATGAGATCACTGCTTCTAAATCCGGCAGGAAGTGAGAGGCGGCAGCGGCCCCAGACACCTTCTCACTGAGCTACCGCACACACACTCATAAAACACTCACACATGCACATTCATGCACACACACGCACACATGCATGCACACACATGCAAACACACATGCATACACTTGTGCCAGTGTACCCACATGCACATACCTCCACACGCTCACTCACACATTCACACAATACACATGCACATGTATGCACATCCCCACCCATATGTACCCTGATTTCATGTGCTCACACGCCCCCATGTGCAAACACCCACACACACACATACATGTGCACATGCTCACATCTCACAGCCACATTCATAAACACACACATGTGCGCTCACGCCAGCCAGCGGTGTCCCAGTCCTTCGGACGAGGGCTCCAAGGAAAGAAGGGTGAATGCAGCTTCTGACTGACTATTCCTCTGGGGTCCACCCACCCACTGCCTCCAGTGTACCCTGTTCTGTGTGGAGGAGAGGGGGAGCCCAGGATGTCAGCCCTGCCTCCGTGGGCCTCAGTAACCCTAGTGCAAAGCAAATGAGGAGAAGCGAGGGAGGCTGGGCCAGGCACAACTTGGAGCAAGGGGACCAGCAGCAGAAGCACACTCAAGGGAGTGGCCAGCCCAAGGGTTGGGACTATTCCCTGGGGCTGGGGAGGGTGCAGATCCCACCCTGAGCCAAGGCTGGGAGTGAGTGTGGCGAGAGTCCCCAGCTCTGGAACTTACAGATCGAAGACCAGGTAGTGGAAGCCCTCCTCGGAGATGCTGTCGTGGAGACGCACTGTGGGGACAGAGAAGCCATGAGGGGCTGGCAGTAGCCCAGGACACACCCCCTGCCTGCCTCCATACCTGGCCAGGCACACCATGAGCTGTGTAAGCCCTAGGGCTGCCCACAGGATCGGGCTGGGTAGGGCCTAGGTGGGCAGGGCTGAGCAGAGTGCTTTGGGCCCTGTGGGCCAGCTGACCACCCAGCGAGCACCCACAGGGCCTCAGGGCCCCTGCCCTTTCCTTGCCCTCAGCTGCCAGTCTGATCACCTGTCTCCTTCTGCCAGAGAGAGACCAGGCCCTTTTGGTCCCAGCCTGGGCCTCAGTTGCTCCCAAACACCATGGAGATGAGCAGGAGGAGCTCACACCGCCAAACCCCAGAAAGGAGCCGCGACGAAGCTCCACGTGAGGAGAAGCTGGGACAAAAACCACTTGTTATTTGTCTTGGGTCTTCCCAGGGCTGCCCTCAGCCTTCAGGCTCTGTGTCTTTGCTGTGTGCTGCCGGCACAGGCTGGCGGGCAGGGTCCCCGCCCAATGCAACATCATCCAAAGGTTGGGCCCTGAGCTCCAATTCCAGAGCTGGCATGGTCAGCAGGATGGACCACCATCATTCCCTCCTTCCTCCCTGCACAGCTTCCCATGACAATCTATGTGCAGCGTGCCTGGCCCTGGAACTCTGCCTGGCGCAGGGCAGGAGCTGGTCAGGATGTGATGAATGAACGAGTGGATAGATGAAGAGGCGAGGGAACAGTGAGTGATTTCAGCACAAAGCAAGCAACCTCAAGGCCTGCTTTTCCTTGAGCTGGAGATGTGCCCTGTACTAAGCAGCAAATATTTTCTAGGAATGACTCATTTTGGACACTCTCCCACGTGCCGATTCTGATGATTGCTAGAACAACGAGGACGATGACAGCCAACACACTAGGGCTGTTCTAAGCACTCTGTGTGTGTTATTTCATTTAACCTTCCCGACCACCCTGAGAAGTTACAGATGAGGAAGCTGAAGCACAGAGAGCTTAGGTAAGCAGCTGACAGTCACACAGCTCACAAAGGCAGAATAGGGCTGTGGACTCAGGGGACAGTCTGGTTTGAGGGCCTGCACCAGCCTCATTCCCTCCAGTCTTCAAGTCCTGGGAAGACGAACCCCTGAGGTGTGGCTCTCCTCCACCACTTGAGACTGGGCCACAGACACTGAACAGGTAAGGCGCAGCTGTCTTCTCCTAGGTTCGCAGGCCCCTGGGCCTCAGGCAGCCCCTTCCTCGGATGCTCCAGCGCTGTTCCAGTTTCTAACTGGCTGCCAGTGCCCTCCCTCCTCTGGCTCTGGTTCTCCCAGGGGCCTGGCCTGATAATGTCCTTACATCCGGGAACTCCATGTGGCCTCTGGGGCCTAGGACTCACCCTACAGATTCCTGGACTCCAGCAGCCCCACACCGATGGCCCTCCTTAGCCCCTAAACCTCAGACAAAATGCCCTCCACCAAGGGCAGGCCAGGCCCCAGAAGCCTCCACAGAGTCAGAAAATATAGGGCAAGCCCTGCCTTTGCCACTTGCTCTGGCTGTGTGACCTGGGGCAGGTTGCTCAGACCATCTAAGCCTCAATCTGCCCCTCTGTGAAATAGTATAAATAGCACCTCTTCACGGGGTGGCCATGAAGATCAATTATGTAACCTTTGTGGTGCTCTGAGACAGTGAGCACTAGGTGAACCACAGCTCTGTGACCATCACTGTCACCATCATCACCTGAATGTGAAGAATCCCAGGTGACCAACGCTCCGCACCAGGGCCTGGGGCCCACTTAGAGTCCTGGGGTTTTTGCAAGCCCAGTGCAAAAAGACCTGCTCCACTTCTCTGCCTCAGGCCCAGTAGCCCAGCCTTCTCCTCTCTGCCCCCACCAAGCCCCATTCTCAAAGAGCAAGGTCTTCCCCAGACCATGTCCTGGGTCAGCTCCCTAGGCGGAGGGCAAATCTTGCCCATCAGGGCTGTTTGGGAGCTGATGCTGACCTCTGTCAAGCAGGGACTCCACCAGCTAAGGCACTTGTCTGAAACCAATGTCCCCTTTCCCTCTCACCCATCTCTGGCTGACTTCTGTCCCAAGAGCAAGGATGCCCTCTCACTAGGTCCCCTGGACCCTCTCTTCACCCCTACGCAGGCTGGCCTGTGTGTCCCTAAGACATGGCGGATCCTGGAGGCCCACCAACATCCCGCTTCTAGCACTCGCCTGTGAAACCTCTGGAGTTAAAAAACTCACCCCTCCCCACTCCTTTCTAGTGGGGGCTGCCCAATAAGCCCAGCTGGGGGCCCAGCAGGATGGCCTCTCTGAACTGCCCCACCTGGGACATGCTTCATGAAAATCACACACTCAGAGTAGAGGTGATCCCAGGGGCCACGGAGGGGATGCCCCCAACAGAACCCCACGGGCAGCTCCAAGGGAGGCCCTGTCATCCATGAAGGTACCTCACCGCTCCCTGGGGGTGCTGCAGGGCCATCCTCATGGTGGGGGCTGCCCCTGCCCTCAGGCACCCACCTCCCCATGCAGGCCTGGTGGGGTGGGGCAGAGGCAGATGGGCTCTGGGGTGGCAGTGGGAGGGGGGATCCCACCTCCTCAGCAGGAAGCAGGCTGCTTAGGCCAGATGGAGCACTGGGGGTCTGTGTGGGGAGTCTGGGCCATGTGCATGTGGACACTTTTTAAAAAAACATTTTTAACATTTTAAAAATAGTTATATACTTATTTTAGTGGTTTAAAAGAAAACGTAACTGGCACATCAGACGGCGAATTCACACACAGGGCTAAGTAAAAAAGTGAATTGTCAGAAAATCTATTTAAATAAAAACAGTAAGCAAATAACACTGTGGGCAGCATACAGAGGTGGTAAATAAATCAAGTCCTGGATTACTAAGAGGAACCAGGGTGGAGAGTCCAGTCTGGATGCAGTGGGACGGTGGGCAGCGGCCAATCTCTCCAGGGGCTAAGCCGCAGCAGTGGGACCCTGAGAGCCCACCGGGGGCTGCAGCCTGGCGCGCGCCCTGGAGTTGGGGCTGCCGCTTTCCATGCTGGGGTCCTGCTGGGTCCACTGGGGCACCTGCCCCTCTGCCCAGCTCATTGGTGAAGCATTGGACGAGGTAAGGTGGTTCCAGTCCCCTAAACCAGGCGATGAGGGTTCGGCGACCTTCGGAGCCAGGCCCAGGTGAATGTGTGGATGCCCCAGGCTCCTAAACAGGCTCCCAGTCCCCAGCTGTTCCTTTGGAACAAGCACACCTGGGGTCCTCCTGGCATAAGTGAATCAGAGCTTTGGAGGAAAGGGCCCAAAATCCACCTGACAGCTCCCCGCGTGCGTCTGAGGCCAAGAGCGGCTGCCATCCCCAGGGCGTTTCCTGGCTGCTCCCCAACATGGGCAAGGCCTGGGCTCCAGGCTCCAGATGCCCCCGTGGAGCAGCTGACTCTGGGCCAGGGTCACTTGACCTCAGACCGTAGTTCCAGAAGCCCTGGGCCAGCAAAAGAAAACAGTAGGGGCTCTCAGCCCGAGGACGGCATGCGCTGGGGTCTTTGGTCAGTCTTTGTTTTCCTTGTAATTGGGCCATCTTGTGGCTTTTTTGAGGCCACAGAATGTTGAGGCCCCTGTGTGTTCTCAGCAGAATGGTGGCTCAGTGTTATGGTGGCTCAGAGTTATGGGGGTTACGTGCTGGGCACTGGCTCAGCGGAAGGCTCTGTGAGGAATGTGTCCTTTACCTTCCTCTGTAGCCACTGTCACCAATGCCACAGACAAGACCCAAAGGACAGAGTGGGGTGGGGAGGGGACCTGTCCAGTTGGGTGGAGCTGGGCACCCAGAGCCCCGCCTTGGGGCTGCCCTGGCTCTGAGCACTCCCTGGAATCATGTCACACAGGACAAAGTCCTCAAGGTCAGGGGAGGAAAGGGGGCGTCCTCAGGGGCTTCTGGTGGGATATTTCAACAGAGAAGAAAAGGAAGTCTTTCTGTATCTCTTTGAAAGTCTGATAGAGAAACCGGAACAGGATCCATCCCCCCGCCCACCCCGGGCCGCTCACCGATATTGGAATGCTTCAGAAGGCGGCAGATCCGAGCCTCTCTCTCCAACTTCTGGTGATCTGGGGGACAGAAAAGAACAAGGCGTCACCTCCTGCCCCAGCAACTGGTGGCCCACAGATTGTCCATGTCAGGAGAGGCCCACCAGAGTGTGCCAGGGCCTCTGATGAAGCGAGGAGTGGTTGTGACCCCACAGTGAGTAGTCGTGCCCCCGCCAAGGGAACACCCTTCGTGGGCACCCCCTGGGCCACTGGTGGCAAGGCTGGGGCAGGGACCAGCTGGCTTGTGTTTGGGGCGGAGAGGCCCATTCAGGTGGTGAGCGCTACTAACTCGGGGCTAAAAGTTTCCCTGGACGATTCAAAGTCAGCAGTGCACTGATTTAATCCTCCACTTATTTGTCCTAATTCCATACTCTTTGGAGCTTTTGGCTGAAGCCAAATTTGTTCTTCCGAGGCAGGGGAGGGGCTATCAGAATGGGGCCGGGAGGGGGTGAGGGTGTGCCCCGGAGCCGGCTGGCAGGAGGAGGAGGGGAAAGCCTCAGAGAGGCCTTGCTTGGGGGATAGAAGTAAACTGGTGGTGAAGCAGGAGGTGGCCCCTCCTTCCCTCACCAGTCTCCTCCCACCCCACAAGGTGCAGGGCCCAGATCCCTGGACACTGGAGGTGTGGAGGTGACTGGTGCCCCTTGGGTGACCCCTCCACTGGCCCCCAAAGGATGGAGCAACTTATCTGCCAGAAATTTTACATTTCAATTACAGGCAGGAGGCTTTTAAAAACTGATGGAGATTGTAATAGCAAAACCCAAAACCCCATACTTCCTCTGACAGGACTCCATGCGCTGCAGTCCCACAGGGTCCCATACAGCAATGCAACAAAGTCCTCCACCAACCCCCACGTGCAGGTAGCACCCACATCCTAATAGTATGTAGGGAACGAGCAGCAAAGGAGGACTCACAGTGTGCTCTTATTTACACAAAGGTCGAAACTAGACAGTCGGTGGGCACAGCCGCGCATGGGGAGCTGCGAGGAAAGGACAGTGCATTTCAGAGTTCAGGACGTGACTGGGGAGGGCGCATTGGTGTCTGGAGCCCCCTCCACCTGCCCAGTGCTGAGTCCCACCACAGGAAAGGTGAGCAGGGCCAGGGGGCACATAATTAATACACAAGATAAGACCTCGGGGATGCCTCCTTCGCCAGGAATGCCCAGTAGCACCCAGGAGCAGGGAAAGAATGAGGCTGCAACTTCACAATCTTCCTCGGGAGGCACTGAAACCTCTGATCCCTGGGCTTGGCAGAAACTTGTCTGCCTGCAGGAAGGGAGGCCTGGCCGAGTCATGTTTGGGGTCAGTTCCCCTGGAGCAGGTGTGGCGGTGGTGGCCTGGGGTACAAGACATGCCTGCAAACACGTATAGGCCTTGAGTGAGAAAGCCACGCCTACAGATGGGAAGGTCTCTGGGAGCGGCATCCCCCGACTTCCCCCTCCCAGGACAGGCATTCGTCTCCCTGCCCTGGCCACCTGGCTGCCATCTGCTTCAAGCCCAGCCGCCTGGCATCCCACGAGAGGGATTCAGAGGGATCTGACAGAGCCTCCATGTGGCACAGAGGGAGTCAGACCCCACCCCGCTGTTTTGCTGGAAGCCCAGGGCATACCTGCTCCCGCCCCCACCTGCACACCCACCTCAGCAAGCACTGCACAGTCTTCTAGAATACCCCAGTCCCTGCTCCCTCTCCCTCTCCTCTCCCCTCCCACTGAAGTGGGAGCTGAGGTGCCAGGAGCCTCAGGGATTTGTGATGGCAGAACTGGAACCAGCCCAAGTGTCTGTCAGCATCAGAATGGAAAAATCAAACATAGTCCTAATAGAATACACACGGTGTGGGCTCCGTTTTCCTATCTGCATGGAGCTCAAAACCCAGCAACACTGGACACACCTGCGGAGGGGAGGGGTCCATGCACGAAGCCTGGCTCCAGTGGAAAGCAGGGGATGGATTCTTGTAACACCCCCAACCCCCATCCCTCTGGGGTGGGAGGAGGGAGAGCTCTCAGTGTGCAGGGCGGTGAGTTCATGGGGTTATTGTTTTATTTCCTAGTGTCTTTCTTACACTGATTCTGAACATTTTTCAGACATAGAGAAACACTGCAACAATAGTACAGAGCAATCGTGTACAGCACTTCTGTACAATCTCCCTGCCCCGCCCCGCTTCCATATGACACACTCGCTTTTTCTGACGCGTGTGTAACACCAGGCAGCACTCAGGTGTGTCTCATAAGGACAGGGTGTCCCTTCCATAATCTCAATGCAGGTCCCAGATTCAGTAAATCGAATGCAGATATGACACTCATGTCTCTAAGCTACAATCCACGTTCCACCTTTCCAACCTGTCCCAATAAAGTTGATGGCTAATCTTTCCCCAGGACAGGATCCAAGCCCGGGACCACACATCGCCACGGGACGTGTGGGCCAGCGCCAGGCTGAGGGAAAGGAGGACCTGGGAGAGAGGCGGTGGAACCATGGCACATAGTTTCCTTTTGAAAAATTGCCTGATTAGAGTTAAATCAATAAAATCATAAATCCAAATCAGGAGAAAGATGCAATTATGAACGCACTCTCCTGGGACACAGATAATTTACATGCCTGTGTTTTATTACTGAAACATCGCCAAGAGCTGAGCCCCAGCCCAAAGATGATACCTATTCCTGAGCACGTGTTTAGGGAGATAATTATTTGTGTGGGGCGAAGAAAGGGCACCTGGCTGCCCAGTCCTGGCACCAGGTGTCCACTCATGGTGGCCATACAGATTGCTGACTGGTCCTCTTTCTGTAACACCCACAACAGCACCTCGACCACCTCCTCCCAGCAGCTGCAGTAGGTTAGCGCTCAGAGAGCCGCTTGGAAACTATCAACCATGACACAAGATCTAAGCTGGTAACATCCAGACACACACGTCGTATAGCGTGCTTCACTCTCGGTGCCAGGTTTATGGCTAATGTTGTTTCATTCGTTAACTTCCCCTCCCCCAGTTTTGACAGTGATCATGTGTTACTTGCATAGCAAAGCAATGTTTTTAAAAAAGATTTTGATCCTGTCTCCAGTGAGCAAGCTACTGATTCAGTATGACAAGGATGTTTCATAAAATCTGCTATGGTAACATTTGCCCTTAAATTTTAAAAAATCAGGCAAAAAATAAATCTAAGCGGATATAAGGTGACTCTGGATGGGACTGAGAAGCCACAAGAAGGAGGGGGCAGGAGGAGGCGGCATTCTCTCTGGACCTGGCTCAGACAGCCCCATCTCAGGGCAGGCCAGAATCCAGCTTCCTAACTCTGTGCATATACTATGATTTCCTTTCTACAAAACCAGGGACATTATTCTCAGCTTCCACATTCACATCGTAAACCCCTTGTCATGAACAAGGTTAAGTAAGTTAAACTGAACCCAATCCAGTGCATAAGAAATGTGCCCTGGCCCTAAACAGTACAGCAGAACCTGGCCCTCGACAGTACAGAGGAATCTGGGGGAAGCCCCAGCTCAGTCCTGTTCCCTGCCCCAGACAGTGGAGCAACCACATCTTGCTCATCCCTGCCTGCCAGCCTCATTCTGGGGGGCTCTGGTCCCCAGGGAATCTGCTGGACTCAGGAGACCAGAGCAGTGGCCACTGAGCAGGTCCCGAGGCCAGCAGGCCTGTGGCGAGAACACAGCCGGAAGTCTGCCAGCAGCGGCTCCCTACCTGTCCAGGGCCCTGTCAGTGCCCCTGGGACCCTAGCAGGGCACCCCTTCCTGAAGGAGGTCCCAAGAGGCCTCCTGAGTGGCCAGCCCTGGCTATGCCCACTACAGTGACGTCCTGGTCAGGGCCAGGCAGTGGGTCACATAGCTCATCCAGGTGACCCAGTAAGAGGGGCTCACCAGGTGTGGGGGCTGTGGGGGCTGAGTGGCCAGGCCTCAGGGCTGTGCTAGGTTCTCTGAGGGGCCTGGAGTTGGGACGCTCAGGGTCACCCAAGACCCCTGATGCTCTTCATCCTCATTGCCACATCTCACAGCTGGGCAGGGATGTCCATGTGGTTAACATTTTATTAGGTAGTATTGATGCAAGTCACAGAAGAGGTGCCACACCTCTGTAGGTTGTGAATCCAACGACAAGGAAACCCCAAGAGCCCACTCCACCCGACAGCTGGTGCCTGGTCAATTCCTCAGAAGGTGCTGGATCCCCTCTCCCCATCGGCCAATGTCAGGCTCAGGCTCATGGCACTTCTACGCGCGCACTGGCTCCCAGAACTGCAGTTCCCTGAGATGCTGAGTTTTCCTAAAGGAGTCTAAGAACAGCCTCTGACACAGACCATGGGACAGAAAGCAGTGGCTGGGGAGTGAGGACACAGGCTGAGCCCCTCCCAACCTCCAGGGGACCTCACCCCATCAAGAGGAGACCCCTCTGCCCTCCTGCCCTCCCTCTTCTTCTCCCATCCCAAGACCCCTGGCCAAGGTCTTGGGGGTCCAGGGCAGACAGTCCCTGGGGCACAAAAAGCCAATGACAGCAGTGCCTGTGCCTCTTGTTATAGCAGAGTGATGAGCAGAGTGTTCTCAGACCCTGATTCTGCCTGTGGAGACTCAAGAGGTGATGCTTCAGTGGGGTTTTAGAGGATGAGTAGGAGTTTGCCTACTCATGCTGGAAAAAGACTTGGTTCTCACACCCCCTCTGATGTGAAGCTTGGAGAGGGAACTCGAGTTCAACCAGCTCCTAAACGCTTGGGCATCTTGCAAATCTGCATCCTAAACGGAGGCAAGGGCGTATGTGTGTGGGCCTGTATTTAAGCCAGAAGGTGACTGACCCATCAGTGCGGATGCAATTCTACACATGCGCACACGTGTGTACACATTTACACACCGGCTCCCCAAGGGGGTGGCTCAGAGAGACGCTGGCAAAAGCATTGCTATTTATTTCTCCTACCAGAGAAACATCCCACAGATCAAATACAGCATTCATTTATACCCCCATAAAAGCATTTATCAAAAACCCCCCCAAACAACAACAATAAACCCCATAAACAATTGTCCTCAAAAAGATCAGGCTAAACCAGAGCCTGTAATTATCCGCCTGCCTGCTTGAATTCTAATGATAGTGATAGTGCGACATCCTCCGATTCCAGCCCTCGGGGAATGCCGAGCGCCGGGGAGCTTTTCTAGGTGATTTAGCTACAATCTCGGCAGAGAGCCCTGGCCTGCCGGCCACTCATCTCGCCAAACCTGCACCCTGGGTGTCCCCCGAGGTCTGCACGACAGGTGGGGCCAAGTGCTGGGGCACAGGCAGGCTGGGGCCACCGAAAGACAGGGAAGAGAAGCACCCCCAGCCGAGCCCTGTACAGCCTGCTGCTGGGCTCATCTCACGGCAGGCTTCTCACCCGCTCCCGCACACATCCCAGGACGCCGAAGACACCCGGACCGCGCGGGGCAGGCTGCTGGGCTGGGACTCAAAGCCAAGGCCTCTCGCCGAAGTGCAGGGGCTCTCTGTGATACGCCACTTGGTCCGCATTTCCTGCTGCTCTCTAGACTGGTGGGTGGTGCCTGCCTGGTGGCTGCAGTCTGTGCTCAATGCAGAATCTGATATTTACAGCCTGCAGATGCTGGCTGTGGGGGCAGCAAGGCCAACATCACAGAGGAAGGGGAGACAACCCCACACCGGCACCAGGAGGGCGCTCAAGGGCCCAGGAGACAAGGCTCCCCTCCTCCCTCACCCCACAGCCTTCTCCAAAACACTGAGAGCCCAGCCGATCTGGGTTACCTGCCTGCAGAGGCCCGACCAAAGCAAACCACTCATGCTCGTGGGGAAAGACAAGGTCGGGTCACACTTGCCTAGATGTCCAGCCTCTCAGGAGCAGGGACCATAGACCCTCCACCAGCAGCCATTCCCAGATCCACAGGACCCCCGAAGCCTCAGCATGGAGCTCTGAGGGGCGGGGTAGGGGAGTGGGGGCTCCTCCAAGCTGTTACTATGCTGGCGGGTTGGCAGCTGGCACCCACCACCATGAAGGTGACAGGGGCAGGGGCCACCTCAAGGTGCCCACGGTCAAGTGCAGGAAGAGACAGGACCAGGACATGGGCACAGCCACGTGACCCATCCCGGAGCACCTGCCACATGCCAGGCACCGTCTGTTCTGTGCACATTACAGGCATTAACCTATTTCATTCCAAAAATGCCCTGAAAGACCAGGAGTGGCGGGGGAGAGACTGCAAACCTCTCATGGTGTGGCGGGAGCTCCTCCCCTCCTGCCACGCCACCCTCATCAGTGCAGGAGTCGTAGGGTCCCCTGAGCTAAGAACAAAGAGAAGCCAGCTGAGGGCGATGGGAGAGGTGGAGATGACGGGGAAGGACATTCACACCAACCCTGCTGCATCTGCAGGGTGAGGCACAGGGCAAAGATGAGGAAACTGAGGCACAGAGAGGAGCTCAAAGCTGCCAGGGCTGAAAGGCCAAGGCTAGGTGACTGGTGGGGTGGGCAGCGTAGCCTTCAACATCCCAAAGGCACACTTGTGCATGGCTCTGGGGACCCCTCGTGTCCCAAGTGGATGGCACCCAGAAGCCATGGTGTGACCAGTGCCCCCCAAGGGGGAGGGAGGGTCTTACAGGACAAGGTTACATGGTTTGGTAAATCATTGATGTTTGTTCCCATAATTTCCTCTTTCTTTCTCCAGTGCCAAGAAGGGGTCCGGGATGGAGCTGGCAGAGGCTTCCCTGCCCACCCAGTCCCCCTATGCCATCCTCCACCCTCCCTGCCCCTCCTCCTCCCCGGCAGTGGGTGAGTCACAGCAGGGGTGGGGGGTGGTGAGTGAGAGGAACCAGGGAGAAGGGGAACAGGAGGGCGTGGGTGGGCACCAGGCCCCCTGCCAGCCACCAGGAGAAATAGCAGAGCTGGCACCTCCAGGAGGACACTGCAGGGCACTGGGCGGGGGCGGCGGAGGGGCAGGAGGGGGAGGCACGAGGCCCACCTGTGTCAGGAATGGCTGCTTCCCTCTCACCCCAGAGCCTCTGGAGTTGTCAGGCCCAGAGACCTGGAGGAGGCCTGCCGGGTAAGCTCTGTGCTGGCTGGGGGATGCAGTTAGGGCCACCTGGGACCACTGCCACCAGGGTCTAAGGGCTGGGGGGTGGGGCTCCCTAGGTGCCATGAGTACTACCCACTGTGTGGCTTGGGACAAGAGATGGCACCTCCCTGGGCCTCATCTGGAAGATGGCTGTAATAATGGTATCTGGCCCCAGGACTGTGCTGGACTGAAAATGGAATCATGTGTGAAAATCCACATGGGCCTGGCACAGGGTGGGTGCTCAAGAACGTATCCCCCCATTCCGGGCAGCCCTGCCTCACCCCGAGGGAGGTTGCCAGACCCCACCATGGGCCCATCACTGGGCGCCCCCCAACAGCATCGGCGCCCTCCACCCATTTCCTCATGCCTGGGAGGAGATCCTCAAGGACAACCCCTTCTGCTTATCCACCACACAGCCCTGCTGGGGCGGGCACGGGGATGGTGGGCATGGCAGAAGGGCTCTGCTCCAGCTGCCCTGTCCTGGAAGTAGTGGCTGGGGAGGGATGGGCCAGAAGCTGCATCCTGTGCCAGCTCCCACCGTCCCGCCAGCTTCTGGTT